TTGCATTCCGACAGGTTTCATGGAATGATTTCGAAAAAAGCAATGTCAACGACGCAGAGCAATTGAAAAGAAATGCAAAAGAAAAAAAAAAAAAAAAAAACATAGCGTGTTTTTCTTGATTGAAAATAATCTTAGCGATGCTATTGACATGCAATAAATATAAAAATATATTCTAATTACTATATAATAAGTAACAAAGAGTTAGGAAACTTGATCTAAATAACTAAAACGTAGCGTAAGTTTAAGAAGAAAAAATGTATAGCTACATCTAATAAAATGATGTTTTAATAGCAGATTTAATAGTAAGAAGTAATACATTCAATTGAGAAATAATGTCCCATTTTGTCGAGTTGTATTGCATGGAAAAACTTTTAGTCTATACATTGACAACCTTGGAATCACTATACTGACATATTTGTCAAACTGGTTTAAATTCTGAAAAAGTGGAAAATTACATAACTGAAGATAATTAAGTTTCTGGTTTTCTTTTTGTCTCAATTTCTTCTTTCAACTTTAGCGCTTTTCTTTGTTTTCATTCAACGGGGTGGAAATTTAAAAAAAAAAAAAAAAAAAAAAAAAAATTTTATAAATTTTTTTAGATTATAGAGATGTTTATTTAATTAATAGAGAATTTATTATTCTTATTATTTATTATTAATAATTAAAGAAAGTATCAAAAAAAGACAAAAAAAATAAATAAATTTTTTTTTCGTAAAAAAAAAAAATTTATTTATTTTTCTTTGTCTTTTTTTGATACTTTCTCATTTAGAGATTTTTTTATTTTTTGTATCTACGATTTTTTTTTTTAAATAATAATTATTTAGGTATACAAAAATAACAAATTTCGAATCGATTCTTTTTTTTTTTTTGAAAATAAGGAATTGGACATCACGTAAAAAATAATTCAACTTAATGTCAGGAAATAAAAATATACTTATTCGTACAAAAAAGTAGTTTGGGTTTCATTTTTCGAATTAATTTGCCATGCAAGGCATTTATACCGCATTACAAAAGCAATTCAATGCCATGTAAAGTAGTTTATACTCAAAAATATACCGTTCTATGTTCTAGTTTTTTCTTGTCACGTTTTACAGGACATTTTGTATTTGTTATACATTTTAACCATTTTTTTAACCATTTCTAACATATTTTTGAAAAATTCTTTCCATTTCTATTTTTTTTTTTTTTTAACTATTAGAAAAATTCAGTTAATAATTTAAAACAATATTCACTCAAATTCATATTTAATGGAAGTTTAACGCATATAATTTGACTGCTTCGGCTTCGGTAAATTTTAAAGACGAAGGTGCCGCAAATTGACTTTTTACAAAAAAGCTAGTATATTATTAAAAGTTGTTATAAAATCATTATACCATTATTTTTTAATCATTTATTAAATTTTAATTTTCAATGACGCATTCTTTCTTTCTTTCACATTATTTTTTTTTTAATTTCAAATTTTTAATTTCAATAAGTTACTTAATTTTTTTCCGTAATAATGCAAAATTAAATAATTTTAATTCATATTAAAAATTAATTTTACATTCTCTAAAATTTTAATTTCAGAATATGAAATAATTGAAATAAATAAATTTTATATTCATATTTTCATAAAAAAATAGTAAATGATAAAAATAAGGTTAATTTCATATTTTTACTATAATACTTATTTTTTTTAATTTATTTTTTGTATTTTAAATATAAAATCAACATTTAACGATTTTGGAAATAATTATATTTCCCCTTTGGTGAAAAAATCAATTTATCTAAAGCTTAAAATTCGGCACGAAATGACATATGGAATTCGAAAAAATGCAATGTTGCCACGTTTCACTGAATTTTTGCTTATTAATTTTATTATTTCAGTTTAAAATATTATTTTTCACATATTATTCGACGGTAAAGTTGTGATTTTCAAAAATTTTGACATCATTTTGGAGATTTAATTTTTCAATAATTGATATTATTTTAAATATATTTTTACTGTAAGTCTTAAAAAATACCAAATTTATGGGATTTGGAAGTTTTAAAAAACATTTAACATTGAACATTTAATTAAACTCTTCCGAAAAATTAATATTGTTAGTGAAAAGTATGAAAAATTTGAATTTTCAAAGATTTTAATTTAAAACATTTTGAAAATTTAATTATTTCTAAAAATTCAGGCTATAATTATTCTTTTAATGTTAAATAATTATCTAAAATTTTAAAATTTATTTTCAAATCAATTTTTATTAGAAAATTCTGCAAGAATTCAATTACCTACTTAAATACAAAAATAAATAATTTATTAAATAACTGAATGTTTTTTAAAAATATATAATTCTCATAAAGAATTTTATTAAAAACTTTTTGAAAGTTAAATTCTCTGGACGAATTTTAATAACATTTTTAAGAATAATTACATTTTTCGAGGAAATTCCTAAAAAGAATTTTATTATTTATAAAAATTATGGAATCCATGTAAAATTTTTTATAATTTATTTATGAAAATAATTGAATTATTGAGTGAAGAATTTTATAAAAAATTTGAATTGAATTTCTGTGAAATTTTTATTATATTTATGAAAATAATTTAATGTTTGGGTAGAATTTTATTAAAAATGTTTGAAAATAATTGGATTCTTGCAAAGAATTTTACTATTTATAAATATAATTGAATTTATTGTTTCGAAAAATTTACTAAAATTTAAAAAAATAATTTAATTTTTTTAAAAAAATATTAAAAATTTTTTAATAATTGATTTTTTTTTTTTGAAATTGTTTTGAATATAATTGAATTTTTGATAAGAATTCTACTATTTATAAATGTAATAATTGAATTATTTGAAGGAATTATTAAAATTTTTAAAATTAATTGAATTTTTTCTCGAAAAATATTATTAAAAATTTTTTAAAAATTGAATATTATCATGAAATGTTGTTAAAATTTTAGAAAATAATTGAATTTTTTCTCGTAAAATATTATTAAAATTGAAAAAAAATTGAATTCTTTCATAAAATTATTAAAATTTTTGTAAGAATAATTGAATTTTTGGAAAAAGTTTTACTATTTAGAAATAAAATTAAATTGTTTCAAGGGATCTATTAAAATTTTAGAAAATAATTGAATGCTTTTGAAATATTTTATAATAACAAATTTTAAAAAATTGAGTTCTTTCGTGAAATTTTTTTGAAAATAATTGAATTTTTGCAAAGAATTTTACTAGTTATAAATAAAATTGAATTATTTTGAACAATTTCTAAAATTTTAGAAAATAATTGAATTTTTTCGAAAAATATTTTAAAAATTAAGAATAAAATTGAATTCTTTCATGAAATTTTATTAAAACTATGTACCTACCTATTAAAAATAATTGAATTATTTCCCAAGGATTTATTAAAATTTTTGTAATTCGTTCGTGAAATTTTATATTAAAATTTTGTTTAAAAATAATTGAATTTTGGCAATGAATTTTACTATTTATTAATATAATTGAAATTTTTTTGAAAAATTTATTGAAACTTTAGAAAATAATTGAAATTTTTTCGAAGAATTTATAAAAATTTTAGAAAATAATTGAATTCTATTAAATTTTTTTAAAAAACTAATTCAATTTTCGCAAAGAATTTTACTATTTATAAATATAATTGATTTGTTTTGAACAATTTATGAAAATTTGAGAAAATAATTGGATTTTTTCGAAAAAAGTATTTTAAAAATTAAGAAAAAAAATTGAATTCTTTCATGAAATTTTATTAAATCTGTATTAAAAATAATTGAATTTTTTCGAAGAATTTATAAAAATTTTAGAAAATAATTGAATTCAATTGAATTTAAAAAAAAAAATAATTGAATTTTTTCAAAGATTTTATTAAAATTTTAGAAAATAATTGAATTCTGTTGAATTTAAAAAAAAAATAATTGAATTTTGGCAAAAAATTTTACCATTTATAAAAATAATTGAATTCTTCCGAAGAAAATCTTATTATTTATGAACATAATTGAATTCTTGTGAAGAATTTTATTAAAATTTTAAAATTTATAAACAAGAATAATTAATTAGAAAATCAGTTAATAATTGAATTTTTTTTAAAGTAAAGTTTGAATCAGAAATTATTTAAAAATTCAGATTTGATAATAAAAAATTTTGTATAATTTGCATAATAATAATTGTTTTGAAGGATAATTAAAATTTTAGAAAATAATTGAATTTTTTGGAAAATTATTTTAAAAATTAAAACAAAATTGAATTCTTGTGAAGAATTTTATTAAAATTTTTGAAATTCATAAACAAGAATAATTAATTAGAAAATCAGTTGTTAATTGAATTTTTTTAAAAGTTTGAATCTTTTATTCAAAAATTCATATTTGATAATAAAAAATGTTGTCATTTGCATAATAATTTAATAGTTTATGAGGCAAAAAAAATAGTCACAAAAATTCAGAATTTTCCTATAAATTCTAAAAATTTAATTTCCTTCCAGTATAATATTCTTTAAAAAAAAATCCCTGACTTTTTTCTGATTTTCCTGACCTGTGGCAACTATAAAAATGATTAAAATCCTTATTTGTTTAAATGTCAAAACGAATCCACACTTTCTACTTGGTAGAATATTATTAATTCAGTTTTTGAATGTCCGAAGTAAATTTTAACTATTTAAAAAAAAAAAAAAAAAAAAGTTTATAAAAATTATTCTAGACATTATAAGTATTACTAAACTGAAATGCGCAATAATTTCTACCATTAGATTAAAATCATTATAAAATTCAATTATCAAAGGACAGTAAAATAATTTATGTGTTTATGCCTCTATTACTCCTCGCGTTGCATTCATTTCTGTATATGTCCACAATATAACCACAACATCATCAACAACGAAATCAAATTTCCCCAACATTGTAATAGACAAACCAGGACCGTTTGAAATTTTGATCAGGTTCTAGGTCACAGACCAGAGAAAATGTGATGAGAATTGAAACTGCTTTGAGGTGGGAAGAGAATGTGAATAGTAGGGGATACGTGAAGACCTTTTTCCAGTCTCTAAACTCTTGTGTTGTTAAAGTTAACGCGAGTGCATCCGATATGCTACTTTGCGCGCGGTATCTTCAATAAAATAGTAGTATAGTGAATGTGAAATTCCAAAAGAAAAGGGAAAATTTTTTTTTATCTATTTTTTAAAAGTGAAATTTTTTTTTTTACAATTTTATAATTCTGTTTTGAATGTTATAAATGTCATTTAGTTAATTTTTTTTTTTTTACTTTTTTCTTGTATCTCACAGGACGAGATGGTGTTACAGTTAAGTTTCGATGTCTATTTCTAATTTCTTGAGTTTCTCTCTATTGTTGAGATCCTAAATAAACAGCGTCTACTGCACGAGAAAGTGATCCTTACAATTCACCATTTTTTTCTTTCTTTCGAATTTTTTTTTTTTATCTTTCTGTCAATTAGATGTAGTTGAAGAAAAGTAAACAAACTGAAGAAAAAGGGTGTGTGTGTGTTTACTTCACCTGATAGGATCTAGTCAATTTTTCAAAAGCAAAAATGGAAAATACTTTTCAAAATTCGTGTACTTTTTTTTTTTACTTTTAGCGGATTATAGAACAAGTTCTCTCAATTTTTTTTAATTCATTACAAAATCTTTGGGAAAATTCTATTATTTTTTAAAATATTCAATGGAATTCAATTAAATTCTAAAAGTTTAATAAATTCTTCGAAAAAATTCAATTATTTTTAATAATAAATAAATTATTTTTAAAATTGTTAACTTCTTTCACCTTTAATATTTTTAATACCTACACAGTTTTTTAATAAAGTTTCATGAAAGAATTCAATTTTTTTCTTTAATTCGTTATCAAAAAAATTCATTAAAATTCAATTATTTTCTAAAATCTCAAAAATCCTGCAAAACAATTTAGTTATATTTATAAAAAATAATAAAATTATTTGCGAAAATTCAATTATATTAACAAAAAAAAAAAAATTAACAAAAGAATTCAATTTTTTTCTTAATTCGTTATAAAGAAAATTAAATAGAATTCAATTATATTTTCTAAAATTTTAATAAATTCTTCGAAAAAAATTTAAATTATATTAATAAATAGTAAAATTCTTTGCAAAAATTCAATTTTCTTTAATAGAGTTTTAAAAAAATTTCATGAAAGAATTCAATTTTTTTCTTTAATTCGTTATCAAAAAACTTCAATAGAATTCAATTATTTTCTAAAATTTTGATAAATTTTTCAAAAAAATTTCAATTTTATTAATAAATAGTAAAATTCTTTGCAAAAACTCAATTATTTTTAATACAGTTTTAATAAAATTTCATGAAAGAATTCAATTTTTTTTTAATTTTTAAAATAATTTTCCAAATAATTCAATTATTTTCTAAAATTTTAATTATCCTTCAAAACAATTATTATTATGCAAATTACAAAATTTTTTATTATCAAATCTGAATTTTTAAATAATTTCGGATTCAAACTTTACTTTAAAAAAAAAATTCAATTATTAACTGATTTTCTAATTAATTATTCTTGTTTATAAATTTCAAAAATTTTAATAAAATTCTTCCCAAGAATTCAATTATTTTCATAAATAATCACATATTCTTCGGAAAAATTCAATTATTTTTATAAGTAGTAACATTTTTTGCCGAAATTAAATTATTTTTAAACAAAAGTTTTAATATAAAATTTCACGAACGAATAAAATTATTTTCTAAAATTTTAATAAATCTTTGGGAAAAAATTCAATTATTTTTAATACAATTTTAATAAAATTTCATGAAAGAATTCAAATTTTTTCTTAATTTTTAAAATATTTTTCCAAAATTTCAATTATTTAATAAAATTTTAAAATAAATTCTTCAAAACAATTCAATTATATTATAATAAATAGTAAAATTCTTTGCAAAAATTCAATTATTTTCAAAAAAAATTTCACAAAAGAATTCAATTTTTTTAATTCATTATAAAATCTTTGCAAAAATTCAATTATTTTTAATAAGGTTTAATAAAATTTGATGAAAGAATTCAATTTTTTTTGAATTTTTAAAATATTTTTCGAAAAAAATTCAAACATTTTTAAAAATTTTAATTAATCTTTCAAAACAATTCAATTATATTTATAAATAAAGTAAACTTCTTTACAAAAATTCCATTATTTACAAAAAAAATTTCACGGAAGAATTCAATTTTTTTAATTCATTATAAAATCTTTGCAAAAATTCAATTATTTTTTTTTAAATTCAAGAGAATTCAATTATTTTAGCTAAAATTTTAATAAATTTTACGAAAAAATTCAATTATTTTCTAAAATTTCAATAAATCCTGCAAAACAATTGAATTATATTTATAAATAATAAAATTCTTTGACATAATTCAATTATTTTGAAATAAATTTTAATATAAAATTTCACGAACAAATACAATTATTTTCTAAAAATTTAATAAATTCTTTGCAAAAATTCAATTATTTTTAAATTTTTAATACAGTTTTAATAAAATTTCATGAAAGAATTCAATTTTTTTCTTAATTTTTTAAATATTTTTCGAAAAATTCAATTATTATCTAAAATTTTAATAAAATTCAATAATTAAATTTTAATTTCAATTATTAACGAAAACGATTATTTTAAAAACTTAAAAGAAATTCTTCATAAAATTCAATTATTATTTTCAAAAATTTGAATAAAAAATTATTAAAGAAACTCCATTATTAAAAAAAAATCAAAGAAATGCTTCAAAAAGAATTTAATTAGAATTTTCAAATATTTTAACAAAATTCTTCGCGAGAATTCAATTATTTTCTTAAATGATAAAATTCTTTGAAGTAATTCGCAATTATTATCAAATTTTTTGATAAATTTCTTTGCAACAATTAATGATTAATGATTTTAATTAATGATTTTCAACACATTCATTTTAAAATTGAAAATATTTGAAAAGAAAAATTATTAAAAAAGTTATAAGAAACAAATAACAATTAACATCAAACAACTATGTTGTAACTATTATTAATATTTTTATTTTTATTTTTACTATCATAACTTTTTTATTTTCAACATATTGCCTTACGAAATCGATAGGTACTAAAAGTTAGAATGTAATATAAATAATTTTAGTATAATTTATAATGCGCTATTAATATTAATACATATTGCATATTTTGAAAATTAACGTCTGAATGAGAAAAAAAATTAACATTTTAATTAAAAAATACTTAGCAAAATGTTAATTTTAATTTTTTGTAATTAAATTTATTTGATTTATGCGTATATAGAAAGTTAAGAAAAAAAAGATTTAAAATATCTGCTCAGTTACTGCATGTATGTTGCTTAAAAATTTTTTTTTTTTTTTTTTAAATTATTGGCATATAAAGAATATGTTTAACTTATTGTGGTTGATGTTGCTTGTTGTGGAATGATGAAAAAAGTACAAAGAAGAAAACAAACTAATTGTAGGAAGCAATCACGACAACACTATGATCGACAATGAAATAAGAAAACCGCTTCAAATAAATGAGCCGCACTCGCTTGCTCACTTACAGAGGTGAAATGCTTCGTTAAAAAACTCAATAGACGCGTTTTTAAGCATTTTTATGGCTGTAAAGTTATACTTATTTTAATTAAGATTGTCCTTTTTTTGTTTATGGTTTTTTTCTTTAAGAAATCGGTTATTTGAGGCAGTTATAATTTTTTTAAGTGCTGGTACAATAACAATATTACAGTATTTATTTATTTTCGATTTTAAATTTAAGAAAATAAAAAAATATCAATTTTTTTTTTATTTATTTAAATTTAAAATCGAGATCTCTTAAAATCGAAAATAAATATTTATTTAATGAAAATTCAGACGTTTGCAAACTTTGGTGTAACCTAACCTAACTTTCTCAGTCTCTTCTTATTTTTACCAATAATGAGCCTTTCTTTTAACTTTTCGTCACTTTTCGTTGTTGCCAAGTTTGTGATCTTTTTTTTTTATAAAATTTTTTTATCACTGGCGACAATTTCCAAATTAATGTCACATTGGAAAAAATAATTATTTTTTTAACAAACGTCTTGCAAGCGTCGCGTCGTTCAAGAAACAAAGGGGAAGACAGGGGAAGAACTTTTGTAGTACAGGGTGGGGAAGTCACGCATAATTTAAATTAGGGTGCTTTTACAATAACTTTTTTTCAATCAATACGAACTGATACGAATTGAATCTCTGACAAAATGATGCGCGCATATTGAACTATTTTATTTTAAATAATGCCTACGAAAAATCGTTAATAATAAATAATAATTGATAACAATTTTAATTTAAAACATTTTTTTTATTTTAATTATTTTTGACTTTAAAAAAAAATTTTATTTTTTTTTTTAATTTTTGTTAATTTTAAATTATTTCTAAACTGTTCTGTAAAATTTACGGTTCTTCTAACTTCCCAAACAATGAAACTCAAAAACTATTCTATTTTTTAATTTTTATACACAGAAAATATAAATATAAGCGAGTAAAAAATGAAAATTTCTTTATAAAAAGAAATTTTCATTTTCAAAAAAAGTTTTTTTTTAAAAAAAAATTTAAAAAAAAAAAAATTTTTTTTTTTAATTTAATTAAAATTTTTTTTATTGAATACGATTTTAGAATGTAAATAAAAGGCATTTGAAAAAATTCTCTTAAGAATTGTCATACTATAATAAAAATACATATACAATGGTCATTTGTGCTTCGTTAATCTTTGTTTTTTTTTTTTTTTTTTACTTTTCATCGTAAATTTTTTACAACAATGAAAATATAAATATATATATACACGAACAGAATAAAATTAACTCTAACGCACATATTGAGATTGTGCGGTACACTTGAAAACTCCAAACACTTTCTCCTCATAATTATTGAATGATTACAGTTTGAGAAATGAAAAATTTATAACGCGCGCATAAAGAATGTATGCCAAGGTAAAAATAATTGTGAGATGAAAATTTTTCTTCACTTCCCGTCTATTCTTAAAAAAAAAAAAAAAAAAATTTTTAAAATGATTTTTCTGTAAAAAAAGTTAATTTTAAATTTACCATATATATCACTTTTTTGTTTTTTTTCCCAAGTTTTGTATATTTAGTGAATCGTAAATAAATTCATATTCAGGGAAAGTTTATTGGAAAATGCAAATATTGGGAAAAATGAGAAAGAAAAAACGAAAGTTGTATGAGAAATAAAATGAAAATAAATATAAAATTACAGCCAAGTGTATGCATATAAAATTAATAAATATTTACAAAAACTATACATAAATAATAAAATTTCTATACTTATCTAAAAATTAAATAAAAATTCTATCTAAAAAATAAAAAAAGGTAAAAAAATTTTTTTTTTAATACAATTTACAGAAATAAAAATTAAATAATAAATTAGAAAATAAGGTGGAATAAAAAACGGTGTAATTGGGAAAAAAACAAATAAAATAGTAAGTAGGATAAACGTGATTTTAAAAAAATACAGGTCAAATATTTCTAGGAAATAAAATTTGCGAAACGATCCTCGAATAATATGTGTATTCAGAAATCAGAACCGTTAGAAAGACAAGGAATTCGATCTGGTGGGCCATTGATGCATAAAATTTTAATTCCTAATTAATATATGCGGCCGAAAAAAAGTTTAGAAATTTTGTAAATTATAAGACACTGTGTTCAAAACACGATAAGACAGGAAAATTATTTTCTAATAAAATAATAATTATAAAAATAAAAAAATAAATAAAAAAAAATTGTAAAATAATAATAATAAAAGTAAGAAAAATAAAGTAGTGAAATTAATAATATTAATAAATAGTGAAAATAAAATAAAATAGTAACAATGTTATAATTTTTAATATGAATTTCAAACATGGGCCGACCTTGACAATAAGGGCCAACCTTGACTACATTTTTTTTAAATCCTTACCACTTTTTTCATTTTAAAACTATTATAAACTAATCAATTTATTATGTTCCTGACTTTTTTCCTCATTTTCATCAAAAATATTTACTTCTTTCTTATCCTTGCTAATAAATTCAATTCCTGCAACGAATTTTATTATTCATGAAAGAATTATATTTATAAAAAAAAAATTTAATTTTTGCGAAGAATTTTATAAAAAATTTTAAATAATCGACTTCTTTTGACTAATTTTATGCAAATTCTAATTTAAATAATTTAATTCCTGAGAAATTTTTTTTATTCATGAAAAAAATTTATTTCTTACGATGATTGTTACAAATTTTTTTTTTAAATAATTGAATTCCTAAAAGGCATTTTATTATTTATGAAAATAATTGAATTCATGCGAAAGATTTTATTAGAATTTTTTTTAAATAATTTAATTTGTATGAAAAAATTTATTACTTTTAAAAATAATTGAATTCTTGTTGTGAATATTGTCAATTTATAAAAATAATTGAATTTTGCAAAGAATTTTATTAAAATGCCTCAAAATAATTGAATTTTCGGAAATAATTTTATTATATATTTATCTTTAATAATTGAATTCTTGCGAAGAATTATTTATGTAAATAATTGAATTATAGAGAATAATTGAATTATTTAAAAAAAAAAAAAAAAAATGAATTAAAATTATATTTAAAATAATTGATTTCTTTCGAACAATTTTATAAAAATATTTGAAAATAATTGGATTCCTGTGAAAAATTCTAATATTTTTGTAAATAATTGAATAGTGGCTAAAAATTTTGTTAAGATTTTAAAAAATAATTGAATTTTTGAGAAGAATTTTATTATTTATGAAAATAATTGAATTATTGCAAAAAATTTTATTAAAATATATGTTTAAAAAGAATTGAATTCCTGTGCAAAAATTCTAATATTTTTGTAAATAATTAAATTCTTCTAAAGAATTTAAAAAAAAACATTTTTTTTAAATAATTGATTTTTTCGAGGAATTGAAATGAAATTTTTAAGAATAATTACATTTTTTTTTATCAATTCCTGTAAAATTGTATTAAAAATAATTGAAATCCTGCGATGAATTTTATTATTTATGCGAAAATAATTGAATAGTTGTAAAGAATTTTATTAAAATTTTTCAAAATAATTGAATTCCTGAAAATAATTTTATTATTTATGAAAATAATTGAATTATTGCAAAAAATTTTATTAAAATGCCTCAAAATAATTGAATTTTCGGAAATAATTTTGTTTTCTATGAAAATAATTGAATTTTCGGAAATAATTTTGTTTTTTATGAAAATAATTGAATTTTCGGAAATAATTTTGTTTTTTATGAAAATAATTGAATTTTCGGAAATAATTTTGTTTTTTATGAAAATAATTGAATTTTCGGAAATAATTTTATTTTTTATGAAAATAATTGAATTTTCGGAAATAATTTTATTTTTTATGAAAATAATTGAATTTTCGGAAATAATTTTGTTTTTTTATGAAAATAATTGAATTTTTGTGAATTATATTATTAAAATTTTTTTTTTTTTGGAAATAATTGAATTTTCAAGAATATAATTGAATTATAAAGAATAATTTTATTAAAATCTGAAAGAATAATTGAATTATTTCAAAAAAAAAATTTAATTAAAATTATATTTAAAATACTTGATTTCTTTCGAACAATTTTATTAAAACATTTAAAAATAATTGAATTCTTGTAAAAAAAAATTCTATTTTTTTTGTAAATAATTGAATAGTGGCTAAAAATTTTGTTAAAAATTTTTTTAAAAAATTGATTTTTTGAGAAGAATTTTATTATTTATAAAAAAAATTGAATTATTTCGAAAAATTTTATTAAAATGTTCAAAAAGAATTGAATTTCTGTGAGAAAAATTTTGTTATTTTCGAAAATAATTGAATTCTTCCGAAGAATTTTATAAACATTGTTTTAAATAATTAATTTTTTTGGAAATCTAAAAAAAGTACGCAAACAGTAACACAACGTAAAAAAAGTAGTAAATAGTAGGTTTTAGTATAGATGAGTGCGAAGCCTGATAGATAAGTCAAAAAGTGGGCCGACCTTGACTATGTCCCTCTATATGATTGAAATTTTAAACTCTATTTTTCAATAACGTTATATATAGTTAATTAATAATATTGTTAATATGTTAAAAAATAATTTTATGTGTATTGTTAATTTAACTCTAGGCTAAAGCTTCTTTTAAGAATCAATAAAGTGGGAGCTAGAGCGTTATGCAGCGAAGCAATTAGCTCGATTAGAGATGTTAGCGATGTGCAAGAAGTGAATCACATAAGGCCTTACGAGGAAATTCCAGGCCCAAAACCAATTCCAATTTTGGGTAATACTTGGCGAATGTTTCCTGTTATTGGCCAGTACACAATTTCTGACACTGCTCGAATAACTCAAATTTTTTACCAAGAATACGGTAAGTTTTTTTTTTTTTTTTTTTTTTTTTTTAAATAAAAATCATTACGTCAATTTTTTACTTTCAACTTTTGTTCTCTCACATTGCATTACATGCAATGTAGAAAAACAAAAATTGAAACTAAAAAATTTAAAATTTTAAAAATTTAAAAAAAAAAAATTTTTTTTTTAAATATTTAATAAAATTAAAATTGACGTAATGATTTTGAAAGAAGTAGTATATGTAGTATGACATTCGCCAATGTATAAAAAATTATTATTCATTTTTAAAATTTTTGAAATCAAGGTAAAATTGTGAGATTAACTGGTTTAATTGGACGACCTGATCTTCTGTTCGTCTACGATGCCGACGAGATTGAAAAAATTTATCGTCAAGAGGGACCAACGCCATTTCGACCTTCGATGCCGTGCCTGGTGAAATACAAGGGGAAAGTGAGAAAAGAATTTTTCGGCGAATTGCCCGGTGTCGTTGGCGTGTAAGTATTTCCATAAATTTGATATATTTTCAAGGCTACCCATCCCAATGCCAATTAACCTCAATTTGCTTAACCCTGTACTCTTTATTTTTCATTATACACACCGCGAAATGCATTTATCACGTTTATATAGGGTTAATGAAGCCGAATCTAAAGTCCATTTTAACCCCATCACTTCAGGGTTTTGAAATAACATAAAAAAACCAAAATTTAACCCCAAAATTTAAAAAAAAAAAAAAAAAAAAAAATTTTTTTTTGTTTTTAAAAACAAAAATTCTGATCTCTATATAACTGCTTTATGCGTTTTTATCTCAAAACTTTTATAATTATTTTATAATTTTATAAATTTAAACTAAACACAGAAACTTTTAATTAAGTTAAAAGCAATACAAACATAACCTTAAAATATTTTTCAGTAAAAGGCTTATCGGTCGTGTTTTTTTTAAAAATGTAAAAAAATTTTTTTTTTTTTAAAATTAGTTTTACATTTTTTAAAAAATGAATTTCGGTCGTGTTTTTTTTTAAATGTGAAAATTCATTTTTTAAAAAAAATTTTCATTACTGTGTCAAAAAAACAATTTTTTTTTTAATTTTTTAAAAAATGAAATTTTACATTTTTTCAAAAATAAATTTTTACCTCTTTTTAAAAAAACACGACCGATAAGCCTTTTACTCAAAAATATTTAATTAATAAACGGTCACTAAATTCAATATTGAATATTTTACTTCTTAGGTTACCTTTCATTGAAGTGCATCACAAATATATAGTTAAGAAAAATTAAAAAAAAAAAAAAAAAAAAAAATGTGCGGTTGACGATTTTATTTCTCATTAAAGTATATAAATATTTGCGGGAATGACTTGTTGACAGTGAAAATAGAAATAGAAAAAAATTAATTACATAATAAAAGTATAGTATCGGATTGAACCGCAATGTGTTTCAATAGTAGTTTGTCAAGTGCGGCGAACCAGTTTAAGATAAGGGTTACATACATTGATTTAAATGCAAATTTGTCTTCAAGATAAGACTGTATATACATTTTGATTGATCAATTTAAGAATTTATAAAATCAAACACTAAAAATTTTATAATAATTATAATACATAAAAAAAAAAAAATTTTAATTTAAAAATTTTTAAAAATATTTTTTTCATTATTTATTTATTTCATATGTATACGGGTATGAATAACCTTTCGTACAAAAGTACTGGAATATTGCTTAAATTAAAAAAATAAAAAAATTATATTTAAAAAATTTATTTAAATTTAAAAAAAATAAAAAAAAAACGAAATTAAATACCTAAAAATAGGGGGGTTGGCGGTGCCCCTAGTAAATATATAAATAAATTTATATTCACATCTGATGAATAGATGAGCGGTTGCACTTGAATGTTGCATACTCTCACGTATGTTATACACAAATAGAGCCTTGATGACGCGACGCATAAATTATGCAAAAGAGAAATATTGACTACTACTCCTTTCCCATTCGAATGAAATTTGTCTCCCTCATCGCTGCGTACGGTATTTAACATCTTTTTAATGAATAAATTACAACAGCTCGACTATAATATTTACATTTTAATCGCAAACTTTTTCATAATATTTGTCTACTTAGTTTAATAATCAACTTCATTCACGTTTATTTACGACACACTATAGTATACACTATGCATATAAAATTGTGCAGGAAAACATTATTGTTAAAGCAAAAAAAAAGGAATGAAATTCTTCCTTCTGAGTGCAGAAAAAAAAATAAAAAAGAATAAAAAAAAATTTTTTTTTAAATGAAAATAAAAAACAAAAAAAAAATAAAAAAAAATAAAAAACAAAAAAAAATAAAAAAATAATAATTTTTCGTTGCACAAAGTAAATAAATAGTTCAAATAAAACAAAAAATACAAATAATTTTAGTAATAAAAAATAAAATAAAATCGAAAAATAATAATGTATAAAAATTCTCAATTTATTAAAACAATAAAAAGTCATGAGTTTTTTTTAATTTTGCACGATAAAAGTAAAAATAATTTTAGTGATAGTCAAAAATGACCAAAAATTAAATAAATCGAAAAATATAATGTATAAAAATTCCATTTATTAAAAAAATAAAAATTCATGAGTTTTTTTTTAACTTTTAGCAGGATAAAATATTTGGTGTGAGTGAGGAATTTTAATATTTGTCCTAATTTTGAAAAAACAATTTTTAATGTTTTGTAAATTTATATTTGCATTTATGAATATTTATTTTTTTTTCAAAAAAAAATTAATTGTTTAATAAAAATGTTTAAAAATTGTTTTAAAAAAATAAATTGTTATTTATTATTATTTATTTTTTGCCACATTGTTATTTACTAAAATTGATTTTGGCGAAAAGAAACTATTGCCAAATTTTTGCAGAAAAAATAACATTTTGTTTTATAAAATTTTCCGTTTCTAATTTTTTATTAATTTAATTATTTTTTAAATATTTTTGGCAGCGATTCTAAACACTCTTAACTCTTCTTTTTATTTTAATAAATGAACATTTTACTTTAATGAATATTTGATTTTTCAAAATTCTGATTTTTAAGTAAAATAAAAAAAATACGTTATTTTTCATCGTGTGAAAATAGTTTCAAAAAAAAAAAATTTTTAATTTTAATGTTTTCAGTCATGGCGAACCTTGGAGGGAATTTCGATCAAGAGTCCAAAAACCAATTCTTCAGCCACAAACTGTCAGAAAATATATTACGCCTATTGAAGTTGTGACGAACGATTTTATCGAGAGGTAAAGATAATTTTGTTTTTTTTGAAATTTCCATTTTATTTGTGACTAATATGATAATTATTGTTTTCAAAATTTCAATTCTTTCCGAAATTCACATATATTTAGAATAACAAAATAAATAATGTCAATTTAAGAAGATTCGTCAGTTTTCACATGGAATTTCCAAAATTTATATGGATGTAGTACATATGTATATGGGTAATTCCACGTGAAATGTTTCTATGACACTTTAAAATCAGTTAAACATATTTTTTTCTCTAGTTCTTTGTAGGAAAATATTAAATACGTATATATTTTTTTACAACTTTTAAATAATGTAAAAAAAATTATTTTTTAATATTTTTAATTAAAAAAAATTATTTTTTTATAAAAAAATTTAATATATTTTTAATTTGAACGTGATTAATTTAAATTTTTTTCTTTATTTATTTTTATATCTGATAATGTAGAGAAAATGTTCCTAAAAGTCTCGAGATGGGCCGATTGAGTTTAAGGAGTTAAAATTTTTTTTTCAAAATTCACTTGCAAGTTGCTCGTGAGCTTAAATTTTTTTTTATTTCTAAATTAACTCTGTAACAATGTTAAAAATTTTGTATTTAAAAATTCTTTTAAATATTTCTTTATTTAAAATTGTTTTTTTACCTGTTTTAATATTTTATATTTAAAATTGTATTTGAAAAAAATTATTTAATGTTTCAAAATTATAAAGTAAAGATTATTAAAAAATTGAAGATGTAAGTAAAAAGTTGTTAATATGCATATTTTTCAAAAAAAAAAAAAAAAAATACATATTAAGATGTATTAAAAGAAAATTTTAATTTCCAATATAGAATTAACGAGATAAAGGACGAGAACAACGAGGTGCCGGCAGATTTTGAAAATGAAATTCATAAATGGGCTCTTGAATGTGAGTAATACAGGAAATTTCTAAATGAAATGTGCTCATAATATTATGAAATTTTTTTCTATATTCTGGAAATACCAGAATGATCATTATCCAAGAGGTTACAATTTACCATCCCCATAGATTTAACACTAGATTCTTAAAAATTTACATTTTTTCTATTAAAAAAAAAAAAAAAAAAAAAAAAAAAAAAAAAAAAGTATTACTATTAGTTTGCCATTATAATTATCATAATTGTAATCATTATTATATTTTTCTATTATGTATTATTTGATATTATATTTATTAATATTTATTAATATTTTTATTATTTTTATTATTATTATTATTATTATTATTATTATTTTTATTATTATTATTATTTACCATTTTTATTATTAGTAATATTATTAAAAGAATAACAATTAAAAATTGTTAAAACATGTTATGGAAGTGAAAAATATTCCTAACGTTAAGTTTTTCCAGAAAGGGTCGATTCAGTTTGACCCAAAATGGAAATAAAATTAAGAAAAAATTTAGTAAAAAAAAAAATTTTTTTTACTTTTATTTTACAGGTATTGGAAGAGTTGCTTTAGATGTGAGACTTGGATGTTTAGGCAAAGATTTAACGCCCGATTCTGAACCGCAGAAAATTATAAATGGTGCTAAATTTGCTCTGCGAAATGTGGCCACTTTGGAATTAAAAGCTCCTTATTGGCGGTACATTCCCACTCCCCTTTGGACACGTTACGTTCGAAATATGGATTATTTCGTCGAGTAAGTTAGAATTTATTTTTTTGGGAAAATAAAATTTGTTCAGAACCGTATTTTTTAGTTTTAGAAAAAAATATTTAGTTTATTAAAAAAAAAACTACTTTTACCATTTGGTTTATCTATTCTTTGTATTTTTTATTTTCTTATTATTAATTAATTTTTTTTATTTGTTTATTATTTTTTTATTATTCTTTTTGTTATTTTCTTCTTTTTTTTGTTATTATCTGTTTTTATTTATTTTTTTACTATTTTGTTCAAAATATTTATTTTTAATATTTATTTTTATTAATTATTTATTTTATTTATTCTTTGTACTTGTATTTTTTATTTTATTTTGAATTATTTAATTTAATAAATTTTGCATTAATCATGTAAATTTGCCAAAAGTTGACTTGAGAAAAAAATGAATATTTTTATTTTAGAGTTTGCATGAAATATATAGACGCTGCAGTGGAGAGATTGAGGAAAAAGAAATCAGTCAGCGAATCAGAATTGTCTCTTGTCGAGAGGATTCTCGCTAAGGAATCAGATCCAAAAATTGCCTACGTACTGGCTTTAGATTTAATTTTAGTTGGAATTGATACGGTAAGACTAATTTATTAGTATAATAAATTAGAATTAGTAAATTTTGAATTAGTAAATTTTAAGTTAGTAAATTTTACTAATAAATAGTAATTTCTAGTAATTAATTAGTAAAATAATTTAGAATTAGTAAATTTTGGAATTACTAATTTTTTCAAAAGCAAAAAATCAATCACTAATTCAAATTAATAAACATTTTTACTAATTTTACTAATATAGAAATTTCTACTAATTTATTAGTAAAATTTACTAATTTAAAAGCAAGAGAGTCAGTCATTAATTCAAGTTAGTGAACATTTTACTAATTTAAATAAAAATTAGTAATTAAATAAAAATAAGTAAATAAATTTTAATAATTTAGACAGAATTATGAATTATTAGTTACTTTATTAATTTTCCCTTTTTTTAATTCAAAATACACGGAAAGATTTCAATGGCTGTTTGCTCGATTCTTTATCAACTCGCAACGAGACCCGAGGAGCAGGAGAAAATTTATCGGGAATTAGTGGAAATATTGCCCGATCCATCGGTGCCACTTACATCCAAGCATTTGGATCAAATTGTTTATATGAAAGGATTCATTCGAGAAGTATTTAGGTAAATTTAACATTTTATTCATGAAATTTAATTAAATTTAAATTAAATTGGAAAAAATATGCACACAAGAGAAAAATGAATAAATATTCATTTTTTTCTTGTGTGTATATTTTTTCAAATGGGTTAATCCCTTAAAATTCTAAATCTTATTCGTCAACATTTTCCCATCGAACGCTAATGTGAATGCACCTTAACCATTGTCTGATTGGTCGAAAATTGGCGCCGTTTTTTAAAAATCATTTACCATTTAATTTAATTATCTGGATATTTTGATTATTTGTAAATATTTAATTTCTCAAGTTTTCTTTTAATCTTTAAATTAAAAATTAAAATTTGTAAAATTTATCTGTTGAATAAACTGTGACAATCACATAATTAATTTTTCTTTACATTTTTTGTCCATAGAATGTACTCGACAGTAATTGGGAATGGAAGAACAATGCAACAAGACACGGTTATCTGTGGATACAAAGTTCCAAAGGGGGTAAAAAAACTTTTTAAAAAAAGTATTAAAAATATTAAATAAGTAAAACTTATTTTTTAACTAAGTTAAAATTTATTTATAATTTTTTTTAACTTAGTAATTATTATCACACTATTTTATTAAACAAACAAGTGTTTTTGAGGGTTTTAATTTGTATTTTTATCTTTCTGTATTTTCTATTTTATTTTTTGTATTTTTTATATATATTTCATTATTACTATATAATTTGATTTCTTATTCGTTTCATTTATTTTTTAAAATTATTTATTGTTTATAGATATAAATTGTAATATTTTTATTTGTTATTTTTTGTTTTCTGAAGTTATTTTTGTATAGTAAAGTTATTTTTGTTATTCTTTATTTATTTTGTAACCTGAAGTTATTTTTTGTTTTCAAAGTTTTTTTGTATTCTTTAGTTATTTTTGTAACCTGAAGTTACTTTTTGTTTTCTTTAGTTAATTTTTGTTATACTTTAGTTATTTTTGTATTTTGAAGATATTTTTTTTATTCTTTAGTTATTTTTGTAACCTGAAGTTATTTTTTGTTTTCTGAAGTTATTTTTGTATAGTAAAGTTATTTTTGTTATTCTTTACTTATTTTGTAACCTGAAGTTATTTTTTGTTTTCTTTAGTTAATTTTTGTTATTCTTTACCTAGTTATTTTTGTATTTTAAAGTTATTTTTTTATTCTTTAGTTATTTTTGTATTCTTTAGTTATTTTTAGTTTTCTTTAGTTAATTTTTGTTATTCTTTAGTTATTTTTAGTTTTCTTTAGTTATTTTTTGTTTTCTTTAGTTAATTTTTGTTATTCTTTACCTATTTATTTTTGTATTTTAAAGTTATTTTTTTATTCTTTAGTTATTTTTGTATTCTTTAGTTAATTTTTGTTAATCTTTAGTTATTTTTGTATAGTAGAGTTATTTTTGTTATTCTTTAGTTATTTTTGTAACCTGAAGTTATTTTCTGTTTTCTTTAGTAATTTTTGTATTTTGTAGTTATTTTTTGATTTTTTCATCTATGTTCTATTTACCATTTATTTTATGTATTCTTTTTATTTTTTGTTTCTTTTATTTATTTTTTTATTTTTGTATTTTGTAGTTATTTTTTGTATTCTTCAGTTATTTTTTGTTATTCCTTAGTTATTTTTGCATTCTTTAGTTAGTTTTGTATTCTTTAGTTTTTTTGTGTTAATATTTAGTTATTTTAGTATTTTGAAGTTATTTTTGTATTCTTTAGTTTTTTTGTGTTAATATTTAGTTATTTTAGTATTTTGAAGTTATTTTTGTATTCTTTAGTTTCTTTGTGTTAATATTTAGTTATTTTTTTATTTTTGAAGTTATTTTTGTTATTCTTTAGTTATTTTTGAATTTTTAAGTTATTTTTTTTATTCTTTAGTTATTTTTTTATTCGTTAGTTATTTTTTTTAAACCGTAGTTATTTTTGTAGTTTGTACTTATTATTGTATTCTTTAGTTATTTTTGTATTCTTTACTTTTTTGTGTTAATCTTTAGTTATTTTTGTATTTCGAAGTTATTTTTGTTATTCTTTAGTTATTTTTGTATTTTTTAGTTATTTTTGTATTCTAAAGTTATTTTTTATATTCTTTAGTTAATTTTTATTATTCTTTAGTTATTTTTTGTATTCTTTAATTATTTTTGTATCCTTTAGTTATTTTTGTATTCTGAAATTATTTTTTGTATTCCTTAGTTAGTTTTTGTTATTCTTTAGTTAGTTTTTTATTCTTCAGTTATTTTTTGTATTCTCTATTATTTATATTTTCTATATTTTTACTTAATTTTTTTCTTTATTCCTTTTTATTTTTTGTATTTTTCCTTATTCTTTTCGAGTTTAGTTTCTCGTTATATATAATGTTTGTGAATATAATATTATATCTATGACTATAATTTTGGTCTCTCCATTAATAGGTTCAAGTTGTATTCCCGACACTTGTGACCGGAAACATGGACGAGTACGTTGATGACGCAAAGTCTTTTAAGCCATCAAGATGGCTCAAAGAGGAATCGCATAAAAAATTACATTCCTTCGCGTCACTGCCTTACGGTCACGGAGCACGCATGTGTTTGGGCCGAAGATTTGCTGACCTCGAAATTCAAGTTCTTCTCGCCAAGGTAATTTTCCCAATTTTCCTCAATTATCAGAAAAAAAAAAATTTTATCAAAACCATTTTTCAAGTTTTTTCAAATTTTATATTTTTCATCCTAAGGGACCAAAAATGAAACCATAAATTAATTTTTGTTGATTCAAATAAAGTTTGTTTCGTCCAAATAAATAAATAAAAAAAAATTGTTGTTTAAACTAAAATTATAGTTTAGTAAACTCTGTGACAAATACACATTTTATTTGTCTTAAATAAACTATTTTTGGATCAAATAAAAATAAAATTTGGTTCAATAAATATTTAAAAATAAATAAAATTAAAATTTCTTAAATTTTAAATTGATTTCAGCTGATACGTTCCTATAAATTGGAGTACCATCACGAGCCACTCAAGTACAAAGTAACCTTCATGTACGCGCCCGACGGAGATCTCAAGTTCAACGTTATAAAAAGATAATAATAACAATAATTATTGTTAAATATAAAAAAAATTTTCAACCTACAAGCAGTATTTTGGGGAAAGAAAAATATTGCTCACTTCATGTCGGGAAAATAAAGTGAAAAAAAAGAAAATACAATTGAAAATTAGAACAAAAATTTTCTAAAACAATTGATTTTACATACTTCTAAGTTTCGAATGATTTAAATTATTACCATTTCGAAAGGGAGTATATTAAAGTAATTATATCAAAAATTCCAAATTTTATTTATGCGAAAATTAATTTATTCAACAAATTGTCGAAAAACATAGAAAATTGTCATTTCTATTATTATTTTTCAATATATTGTATAAATTTAAATTAAATAAATAAATGATATTTAATTGTGATTTTTTTTTATAAATAAAGAAATTGTAATTCTTCGAAATTCAATTATTTTGAAAATTTTTAATAAAATGCTTGGCAAAATTTCAATTATTTTCAAAAATTTTCCTCAATTTAATGATTGTTTAATATCTATGATTTTAATTAATAAAATTTACCAAAAGAATTCAATTATTTAAAAACAAATATAAAAGAAACATTTAATTATTTTCATAAATAATTAAATTTTCACGGGAATTTAATAATTTCTTTTTTATAAATTTCTTCGCAAAAAATTCTGTTATCTTCATAAATGATAAAATTCTTTTTAAAAATTCAATTATTTTCATAATTAATAATAAAACTCATTTCAATTATTTTTAATAAAATTTTTATCGAATTTCAGAAGAAATGTAATTATTTTTTATTATTTTTTTTAAATTCCTCAAAACAATTCAATTATTTAAAAAATTTTTGATAAAATTCTTTATTATGGTATTCAATTTTTAAATAAATTCTTTATTTTTATATTTAAATAATAATTGAATTGTCGTAGAATATTTTCTAATAAATATGGATTTAAACATGAATTTTAGATAATAATAATTGAATATTAAAATTATTATAGCGTGAATTTTTAGAAATAATTGAATTTTGAAAAGATTTCATATTAAAATCTTTGAAAATTTTAAGTTTTCATCAATTCTGTAGAAGGATTAATTTTTTTGAAAAAGTTTTTTTTAATTTTATTTGAAATTATTTTTTTTTGAAGTTTTTTTTCTAATATTTAATTAATGAAATTTGCGAATTGTAATTAAAATTTTGAAAAATTGAATTGTAAACAAATGAATAAGAAAAATTCTCAAACAACTTTTTCAAAAGTTACTAAAAATATAGAAGAATTTTACTAAAAGAAAAATTTAATTTTGCAGAATTTACAAATTATTGCGCAGAAACAAAAATTTTTGAAATAAGAAAAAGAAAATAAAAGAGGTATAAAAGAAAATATTGTATTATAAATTATATGTTAATTTTGTATAACTGTAAATTATCACATAGTTTTAGTTTTCCACTCTCTGAATCGAAAAAAAGGAATCGTGTAATAAGTATAATATTAAAAAATAGGGCACTATAATTATCTGTAAATAACTATATATATGTGAAAATATATAATTGTATAATCCACTCTCATTATGTTAAAATCCTTTTTTCCTCAATTTCTTCATTCAAAATAAAAATTAAAATAAAACAAAAAAAAAAAAATCTGAATGAAACTTTCTTTTAAAATTAATTCGTCTTGGTAATGTACACATTAAAATAAAAGAAAAAAGGCAATTGCAATAATTGATGACGTTCAAAAGAAAATATTTTCTCTCTCTCGACTTTCAGAGAAAAATTATGTTGATTCTTCAAGCTTATAACTATTAAATTCTTATACAAAGAAAAAATTTCGAAATATTTCCATATGTCTTTGTCTCTCTTTCTCTCTCTCTCTCTCTATTTTCTTTACTCTAACGATGAATCATTTTACATTAATTATATAAATAAAAAAAAAATTAAATAAATAAATAATTATTAATTAAAATAAAAAAAGTAAATAAATAAATAAATTAATTATTATTTCATTAATTTAATAAAGTTATTTATTTTCGTTGCAAATTAAATATTTTTTTACGAAACAAAAAATTTTTTTCTATTTTAATTCAAATAAAATATTTTTCTCTCTTATTCCAAATTATGTTCTTATTTCATTACATCAGAGAGAATTTTTTATTATACACAATTTTATTTAAACACGTTTTTCTTATTTACTCATTTTTTATAAAATTAGAAGAAATTGTTATTTTTTTATTTATAATTTTTTTTTTATTTATTTTTTTAATTTACTTTTTTTAATTATTATTTTTTTCCGTTTTATTAAATTTTTTTTTATTTTTAAAAAAACACTCACTCCTCGTGACTCATTAAATAAAAAGAAAAATTTCTCGAGCAAATTAAAAATTCAAAAAAAATATACACTTATAAAAATATTATATTATTTATTTTATAAATTAACAGTGTTCTTTAAACTGTAAATTTTGAATTTACTCGAAATTTTTTTCTATTTAATGCGTCACGAGTGTTTTTTTTTTGAAAATTCAAAAAAAAAAGTAAATTAAAATAAATAACAAAAAAAGAGAGTAAATACGTAAAAAAGAAAGTGAATAAAATAAGAAAGTAATTATAAAGATAAAAAAAAATAATTAAACAAGTTAAAGAAATAAATTAAGTCAAATAATTTTACGGATGAAATAAATAAATAAAAATAAATAAAAATAAATAAAAATAAATAGAATAAACCTATGAATGTAAATAATTATTTTTGAATATTTTTGTTGGGTCGAAGTTAATCAACCCTTTCTGGAAAAAGATAACGTAAGAATATTTCTGTTCAAGACATAATTACTGCATTCGAATGCCAACAATATATACCCCTCGAGTCTCATCTCACTATCGAGAGAGCCGATGCTTCGCCACCTGGCGGCGAAGGACACAAGTAGAAATATTTAAATATGTACTTTCTCATAATGCGAAGATTTTAGAATTAAATGATGTTAAAAATTAAATTAAATGTTATTATTGAATTCAAAAATTCTTTTTAAATAATTAAAATATTTACAATTCAAAAAATTGAATTAAATTAAATTAATAAAGTGAATAAACTTTATAATCTAACAATAATTAGGTACACTTAAATCTGAATTAGTTAAAAATAATTATTAGTAAAATCGTGACTGACTTTTTGCTTCAGCAAATAATTAGTAAAAAATAACTAATTATTAGTAAATAATTAGTAATTATTAGTAAATAATTAGTAATTATTAGTAAATAATTAAAAATTATTAGTAAATAATTAGTAACTATTAGTAAATAATTAGTAATTATCAGTAAATAATTAGTAATTATCAGTAAATAATTAGTACACAATTATTAGTAAATAATTAATAATTATTAGTAGATAGTTACTAATTATTATTAGATAATTGCTAATTATTAGTAAATAAATAACTAGGTACAAAAATAGTCAAATTTCACTATAACATTAGTTAACAAAAATTTTAGTTATTTTTACATAACCTAAAAATTTATTTACTAACTAACTAAAATATTTACTAACTAAAATTAGTAACTATTAACTAATTAAAATTTATAGAGTGAAATAATTACTAAAAAAATATTAAAAATTAAATTTAAATGTATAATATTTATATATACAATAAATTATATTTTTTAAATAAAAATCTTAAATAAGTATAAATAATTGTTTCAATAGAAATAAATATTAAAATAGGTAGTTATATTTAAAAACTAACTAAAAATATTATCAAGTAAAAATTAAATTAAAAAGTAATGATATAAAATAAAGACTCAGATCTAAAATAACTAATTAAAAAAATAATATTAAAATATTATATAATTGATCTATATGCATTTGAATTTTTAGTGAGAATTGCCTTCTAATGGATGAATGAATGAATGAATTAATGAATGAATTATTGTGTCAGGACGATAATATATACGGAAATAAATAATGCACAATAGAAACTAGTTTAAAATGAATTTATTCATTCATTTCTCCAAATATAATTACAAAATTTAAAATCTTTCTTTTCTGCGCTCTTATCGTCTTAAAAAAAATACTTTTCAACAATTTGATAATTTAAATCTATACATATAATATATAGATCTAAATTCTAATAATGAAAACATATGATTTTTATATAATGTGAATTTTTTATGAACAATTTGTTTTCACTATTTTTTTTTTAATTAATATGAAAGTATTTAATGAAATTTTTTTGTATTTTTTTTAAAATTTTTATATAGTAATTTAGAATATTTGTAAAACTACCTTCTGATGAAATTGAACTTGAGAGGGCCATTTGGTGAGTACATCGGATTTATGTAGTAGTCCAGTTTCTCATAATGATATTCAACTTTGAAGGCTTGTATAATCTGAAAAAAGAAGAATTTTACATTTAAAGAAAAATGGAAAAAATTATTTTTCATCAAATATTTTGTAAGAAAAAAAGCAATAATTATGATGAATAGAACAATATTTGAAAAATTTTTAATTATTATTAATAACAAATAGTCTCTTGAAATTTTTTTAAAATAATTATTTATTTTTCAATTTATCAATTTTGTATTTTTGTAATTTAAGTAATTTTAGTCATTTTGTAAATTTTATATTTTTGTAGCTTTTGTAATTTTTCAGTTTTGGAACTTTTTATTTATGTAATTTTATTAAAGTTTTAATTTTTTGTTCTTTTTGTAGCGTTTATAATTTTTGTAATTTTTGTAACTTTTGTAATTTTTGTAATTTTTGTAATTTTTGTAATTTTTGTAATTTTTCCAACTTGAATAATTTCAAACTTTGCAGTTTGTAACATTTTTATTTATTATTTTATTGAAAAACACGAAAAGAGACCTTTATTCTTTACTTTTTATAATTTTCTACTTTTGGTTATTTTTCAGTTTAGTAATTTTTTACTTTTGTAATTTTAGTAGTTTTGTAACATTAATATTTTCATAACTTTGTAAATTTTCTAGTTTTTGAAATTTTTTTCAGTTTTGGAACTTTTATTTTTGTGACTTTTATCATTTTTTTTTTTATTGTAATTTTAGTAATTTCGTACCTTTTATATTTTAGTGAGTTTTATAATTTTTATAACATTTAGTTTTGTAATTTCTGAAATTTTGTAATTTTTTAACATTTACTTATTTATTGAAATAAAACTTTTGTAATTTTTGTAGTTTTTGTTATTATTCAGTTTTGCATGTTTATATTTTTTTAACTTTTGTAATTTTGTAATTTTATAAACCTTTGCAATTTTGTAAATTTTTGTATTTTTTTTTAAATTGTTCAGTTTCTTAATTTGTTATTTTTACAATATAATTTTAATTAAGAAATTTTTGTACTATTTTAACTTTTGTAATTTTTATAAAGTAATTTGTGTAATTTTAGTAATTTTGTAACTTCTGTAATTTTGTAGTTTTTGAAATTTTTCGGTTTTTTATCTTTTATTTTTGTGACTTTTGTAATTTTTGTAGTATTTAGTTTTGTAACTTTTGTAATTTTTGAAATTTTGTAATTTTGTAACATTTATTTATTTATTGAAATATAATTTTTGTAATTTTGTAACTTTTGTAACATTTATTTATTTATTCAAATACAACTTTTGTATTTTTAAAAATTTTTAATTTAAAAACATTTATAAGTTTGTGATTAATTTTTTGGGTTTGTAATTTTTTATTTTTGTAATTTTTGTAATTTTACAGTTTTTTTTGTAATTATTCATTTTTAGAAGATTTTTATTGTTGTAATTTTTGTAATTCTTGAAATTTTTAAATTATTTTCTCTCTTTTTTACTTAAAAAAATTATTTTCCAAACACTGTTTTTTTGCAACAGTAAAAATTTTTTAAAAATTCCACAACAAAAAAAATTAAAATTGTAAAAATTCCAATGATATTAAAAATAATTTACAATCATCCTCGTTATAATGATAAATTGCAGTCATATATAAGAGAAAATAATAAAAAAAAAAAAAAAAAAAAAAAATGCTGAAGTGAGAAAGGTATAAATCGTAAATTAATTTATTCTCACCTTACTGATGACAATGATCATTTCAAGATCAGCGAATCTTCGCCCGAGGCACATTCGTCTACCGAAGCCAAAGGGCAATGAGGCGAAAGGATGACACATTTTTTCACCTGCCAACCAACGTTCCGGTAAGAATTCCTTGCTTTTAGGAAAATATTTATCCTGATTACTAATCACGTAGTGTTGGAAGACGACATGCACCTGTCAAACACAAATATTTGCACTATGTACACATATATTTCATAATAATCGACTCCGAAGGTTAAACTCATATTATTCTTTCCTTTCCTTCTAAATTTTCACTCTTAGACAAATTCTCCATAATCTCATTATAGACATCTTCTCAACATTCTATTTTTGTAAATATCATTTTATGCAAAATTACGAAAGAATTATTTCCTTTAAAAAAAAAAAAAAAAAAAACCTAAAAGAATTATTAGAATATCAATTATTTGAAAAATAATTATTTTCATCATTTATTAATTTAATAATTATTACTTACTTATCTACAATTATTATCTAATTAAATAATTAATTATTAAAAAATTAAAAAACCGTAAATAAATAATTTAAATTATTACTTTACATTTATTTTAATATTTTTTATTTTATTTCGATAAATAATATAAAATTCATCGCAAGAATTCAATTATTTTTAATACAATTTTCATTCAATTATTCGAAATAATTATTTTTAAAAATTTTAATAATTATCTTCGAATTTAAAAAATAAATTATTTTCAAATATTTTTGATAATATTTTTCGCATGAATTAAATTATATTTTCACAAATTATAAGAATTCTACGCAGGAATTCATTAATTTGTTAAATATCTTCTATTTCAATAAAAGCTAAAGAAATAATTCAATTATTTATAAAAAAAAATTTTTTAATAAAATTCAATTATTTTTCAATCAATTATTTTTACTGATTTCGAAAAAAATCAGTTTTATAAGAATTCAATTACTTTCAATAACAAATTATTGAAAGAATTCAATTATTTTCGAAAAATATTTAAGAAAAATATCTTTAAAAAACTACAATTATTTTCGAAAAATATTTAAGAAAAATATCTTCAAAAAAATACAATTATTTTCAAAAATTTAAAAGAAATTCTTCGCAAAAATTCCATTATTTTGATAAATAATAAAATTTTTATAAAAATTTAATTATTAAAATTATTTTCATAAAATTTTTTAGAATAAGAGAAAACAATTATTTTTAATAATTTTTAATGGCATTCCTCGATGAAATTCAATTATGTATTTTTAAATATTTTAAGAAAATTTTGCTAAAAAATGTCCATTATTTTCATAAATAAAAAATATTTCTAGAAATTTAATTATTTAAATTTTTTTCATAAAATTTTTCGAAAGAATGAATATATTTTCAAAACATTTATCAAATCTTCAAAGTTCAATTATTTTCGAAAAATTTTATAAAATTCCTTATAATAATTGAATGTTGAAAAATAATTAATTATTTTACAAATTATACATTTTTCTTTTTAAATCATTGAATTCTCGTAGAACTTTCTATTTGAATTAAAAATTAATTTTATTTAAAATGTTCGATAATAAAATTGAATATTAGAACCGTTATTGTGGCACTTTTTGAAAAATAATTAAATTTCAAAAGATTTTTTAATTGAAATAAATATTGAAAAATCTTACGCCTTTCGGTACATGATATCCGCCAATAACAGTGTCTGTAGTGGTGCATCGTCCATTTCCAATTACAACAGGATACATTCTATTAAAAGAAGATAAAGTCATAAAATTTTTCTTTTCTTTTTTTTTCTATTACATATGCAAACAATAAACTTATTGTCCTATTTATATACATATATTCACTTGTAAATTACTTATGCAAAGATTATTCATTTTAATTGTCGAGAAAAAAATTTTTACGAGTAGTTTTATTAATAGTATTTTGTTTTTGTATTCTTTTTTTTATAAAAATGCACTTTTACTAATATGATTATATGGTAATAGCGCTTTTTAATGCTCAATTAATTTGAATAATCGAAAGAAAAATATTTTCAATTTAGTGTTTAACGAGGGTTATAAAAATTAATTAACTAAATTTAAATTTAAAAAAATTTTTGTCATTATTATTATTATTATTATTATTATTATTATTATTATTATTATTATTTTAGAGAAAATCTAATTAGAAAAAATAAAATTATAAACAATTTAATGTAATTTGAGATTGATTAATTGAAACAATTTTTAATAGCGAAAAAAGTGAAATTTAAAATTCGAAAATTTTAATTTTAATTAAAAGAGTAAAATTAAAAATAAATTAAAAATCTTAAATAAAGTAAAAAAGTAAATTTAAGAAAAAAAGAAAATTAGAACTGAAAAAAGTAAAATTAAAAGAACTACAATAAAAATTAAAAAATTTATATTTCTTCTCTATTAATTAAAAAATCAAAACAGAAATGAAAAATTTTAAAAAGTATGAAATTGAAAGAAAATTAACGTAAAAATTAGAAAACATATTTATTTTCTAAAAATTAAAAAATTAAAATGAAAAAGTAAATTTAAAAAGAGTAAAATAAAAAATAAAAAATTGGAAAAGATAAATAAAATTTCTAAATATTGGAAAATTATTAAAATAGAAAAATAAATTTAAAGTGTAAAAATGAAGAGAAAATTAAAGTAAAAATTAGAAAACTTGTATTTATTTTCTAACATTTAATTAAAAAAATTAAATAGAAAAGTAAATTTAGAAAGAGTAAAATTAAAAATCTAAAATTGAAAATTAGAAAATTTATATATTTATTTTAAAAAAAGTAAAATTAAAAATAAGGAAATTTATCTTTTTCGTCTAATAATTGAAAATAGAAATGAAAATTGAAACTGTAAAATTAAAAGAAAATTAATGTAAAAATTAGAGAACTAATATTTATTTTCAGGAAATTAGAAAATTAAAATGAAAAAGTAAATTTAAAAAGAGTAAAATTAAAAAATTAAAAATTGGAAAATTTTAATTAAATTTCTAAACATTGTAAAATTAAAATAGAAAAGTAAATTTAAAGTGTAAAACTAAAAGTCAATTAAAGTAAAAATTAGAAAACTTATATTTATTTTCTAAAATGTAATTAAAAAATTAAAATAGAAAAGTAAATTTAGAAAGAGTAAAATTAAAAATCTAAAATTAAAAATTAGAAAATTTATATTTATTTAAAAAAAAGTAAAATTAAAAATAAGGAAATTTATCTTTTTCGTCTAATAATTCAAAATAGAAAAGAAAATTGAAACTGTAAAATTAAAAGAAAATTAATTTAAAAATTAGAGAACTAATATTTTTTTTCTCGAAATTAGAAAATTAAAAAAAAGTAAATTTAAAAAGTGTAAAATTTAAAAGAAAATTAAAGTAAAAATTAGAAAACTTATACTCATTTAATTAGATAATTAAAAATTAAAAAAAATTGTACGTAATTATTCAATGTTGATGAATCAAAAAATGTAAAATTAAAATGAAAAAAAATTAGTTTTTCAAAAATAAATTTGAAAAAAAAATTTTTTTTTCCTTATATTTCGGTATTTTTGCGTGTAAATATTTTTTGGATCGGAGAAAGCAATAAATACCTTAATGTTTCTCTTATGCAAGCCTTTAAATACTTCAAGTCATCAATATGTTTCGCTTCGAGTGTTTGTCCATTTGACGGAAGTACTTTGCTAATCTCTTCATGTACAAGTGCTTGTTTTTCCGGATGAAGTGCCAGTTGATACAGAACCGATGCCACGGAATTTGATGTCTAAAAAAAGTCAAATTTATAAAAAAACATTAGATAAAAACCACTAAAATATGTAAAGCATTAAATAAAAAAACACTAAAATATAAAAGACAAATATTAATTAAAAATTAAAAATTAAGAACAAATTAATAACAAATATAACAAAGGTTAGAAATTTATAAATAAAGTTTATAAAATAATTATAAAAATATTATTATTATTATTTTTTTTTAATATAAATAATTATTTATTTTTTTAATAGAAATGTAGAAATTAATGTTTTCGTTTTTTTTTATAAAATTAACTATTCAATATAATGAATATTAATAATAATTGAAAATTAGAAAAATAGTAAATACCTAGGTATGATATTTTTCTTGCTTATAATAAAGGACATTATCCCTTTATATTTAAATTTAAAATTAAACTAAAATTAAATTGAAATTTAATTGAAAATTAAATTAAAATTTAATTGAAAATTAATTTTAAATTTAATTGAAAATTAAGATTAAATTTAATTGAAAATTAGGTTTAAATTAAATTTAAGTTTAAATTTAATTGAAAATTAAGTTTAAATTAAATTTAAATTTGAAAAAATAAATAAATAATATAATAATTAAATTAATTTTGTTAAACTAACCGTGTCAATTCCAACAAGGAATAAATCTAAGGCAAGAGTTGCAGCTGTTTTCGAGTCATTGTCTAGGGCTACGACCCTTTCAAGAAGGGAAAGTTCTGTTTTCGATTTACTTTTTAGTTTTGATCTCTCCAAAGCTTCTTTCGTGTATCTCGATGTAATTCTATAAAAAAAAATGACAAAATTTTTTATTATTTGAAAATAAAATTGTACATTATTTTTAAAAATATATTCAAAAATATTTTACTAGTTTTTTTCAAACTATTAAATCGGATACTAAAGTGGATCAAAAATTGTTAGCAAAAATGTCGATTAATTTTTTACTTGATCCACGTTTTTTTGAATCAATTCGTTGAAATTTGTTAATTTTAATTTAACATGTTAACAATGTCTATAAAAATGTATAAAAATAAGAAAATAAAAAAAAAATTAAATAATTTTTTCCATTTTGCATACGTACGCTTTACTACTTTTATAATTTTTGTTTGTATTATTATATTTACAATCCAAAATTTACACGAAAAAAAAATAGTAATTTTTATTATTATTAATATTATATTTATTATTTTTTTTCTCCATATAAAATAGTAAAAACTATTGAATTGAAATTATTATTATTATTATTATTGAAAATAATTGAATTCCTGCAAAGAATTTTACTAATAAAAATAATTGAAATGTTTCGAAGAATTTATTAAAATTGTAAAAATAATTAAATTCTTATGGAAATTTTTCGAGAAATTCAATTAAAGTTTTTATGAAAATAATTGAATTCATCACAAGAATTTTATTATTATTGAAAATAATTGAATTCTTTCAATTTTTTCTTTGATATTTAAAAAAATTTGCATTGAAAGTAATTCAATTTTTATATAGAATTTAAAAAAAAAATATTTTTAGAATAATTGAATTATTTTTTAGAGAATTTTAAATTCTTGTTGAAATTGAATTTTATGAAAAATTTTTGAAAATAATTAAATTCTTTCGTATACGTAATTTTATTTAAATTGAATTAAAAATTATTTAATTTCAGCAAAGAATTTTTGTATAATTATAAAAATAGTTAAATTGTTTCGAAGAATTTATTAAAAATTTTTGGGAAATAATTGAAATTTATGGAAATATTTAAAAATATAGTTGAATTCATCCGAGGAATTCAATTAAAAATTATTTTGAAAATAATTGAATTCCTGCAAAGAATTTTACTATTTATAAAATTAATTGAATTTTTGCGAAGAATTTTACTATATTTATAAGAATAATTGAATTTTTTCGAAGGTTTTAGTAAAATATTAGAAAAAAATTGAATTTTTTCGAAATGCGTTAAAATTTTTTTTTTTTTTTAAATTGAATTCTTCTGAGGAATTCAATTAAAATTGTTTTGAAAATAATTGAATTTTTGTAAAGATTTTACTATTTAAAAAAATAATTGAATTGTTTAGAAGGATTTATTGAAATTTTAGAAAATAATTGAATTCTTTTGTGAATTTTTATTAAAATTTTTGAAAATATGAACAGTAATAATTAATTTTGTTCTTAATAAGTGAATTTGTTAAATTTTGATTATGAAATTATTTAAAAAAATATAAATATATTTGAAAATAAACAAATTTTGTAATTTGCGCAATAATAATAATAATAATAATAATAATAATAATAATAATAATAATAATAATAATAATAATAATAATAATAATAATAAAAAGAAATATTAAAGTAATAAGAAAATAGTTTAAAAAAATAATATAATTGAATATATTATAAAATAAATAAACAGTAGTAATATATTCACTTTAAAATGGTATCCAGAGCATTAACAAAGGAACACCAAGTTGGTGTGTTAAATACTTTCCAAAATGGAATTTTCAACTCGAGAATTCCAACATTTCCGAAAAATGTCGTAACAGCATTTATTAATTCTTGTGTTTCCCCTGGTGCGTTCTCGTCCATGCATCCCAGTCGTACATCAAGTGCAATAAGCGCAATTGCTAAAAAAAAGATTTTTTTAAAAATTATTTAATTCTTTAAAAAAATGTCATAAAATAATTTAATTCTTTAAAATTAATAACATCAAGAATAAAACAATATTATCAGGATATTGAATTAGAAGCGAAAAAAAATTTAGAATAAAAATTGTATCACATAAAAAAAAATCGTAATTTTTTTTTCGCGAATAAAATAATAAACTTTGAAAGTTTATTAATTAAAAATTCCATTTCACTTACATTCCAAAGCCCATTTATGAATTTCGTTTAAAAAATCATCGGGAACCTCGTTGTTTGTGTTTTTAATTTTATCGATTCTGAAAAGTTGAATATTTTACATTATGATAAACATTATGTGAATGAAAAATTTATTTCTAAAGAAAATAAAAAATTGAATCCCAAAAGAAAAATTAAATTACCAAATATTTTCTATTTTTTTAAATGTGAAATTCAATTTTTTTTATTTTCGTTTCATTGCCCTTTTTATACTTTATGTTTATGGTCAAATTACCCCAACTGCGGGGTAATATTGTGAAAGAAATACTAAATTTCAAATATTTTCTATTCTTTTAAATATGAATTTCTATTTTTATTTTATTTTAGTTTCATTTTATTTTTATATTTTATATAGCGAAATTACCCCAAGTGGGGGTAATCGTGAAAGAAAAATCAAATTTCTAACGTTTTTTATTCTTTTAAATATTAAATTCTATTTTTATTTTTATATTTTATAATAATAACAAAATTACCTTAACTATGGGGTAATTGTGAATGAAAACTTATATTTCGAATATTTTATATTTTCTTAAATATTAAATTCTATTTTTTATTTTAACATTAAAGGCGTTGAAAAAAGGGTTAAAAATAAAGTTTTTTTTACTTTAAATTCAATGTAAACTGGAAGTTAAAAAGAATAATGTACGGCATTTATAAAAGGGTCCAAAATAATGTTAATTGTATATTGATGAATAAATTCTATTCTGTTTTAAATTATAAAAATAAAAAATAAAAATAATAGAAATAAGTGAAAATAAAAGTGATAGAAATAAGTAAAAATAAAAATTATAAGAAATAAAAAATATTTATATAAATAAATTGTTATTAATTCTAATTAATTATTATTTATAAATTTATAATACTTAAAATGGAGAATATAAAAAAAATTTTGTTGACCACCTTTCCAAAAATGTAATGCTGGCATCTTCGATAGCACCAATGTACATTCTTGCAGTTTTTGGTTGGAGCATGACTTGTTGCACTTTACTACGAAATTTGTACCAACTTTCACCGTGACTGTAAGAATAAAAAAAACACAAGCAATTTATGAATGAATGCACAAAATTTCAAGGTAGAGTATTGATAATTTGAGGGTAATGTGTACTCGCATTATTTCAACATCGATTCGTGACCATGTTATTAGAGATCATAATTTTTATTGGGCTGTAAATTTTTCGAACATTATTCATATAATGATATTCACAAAAGAAAAAGTTGAACAAACGTTTAAGAAAGGGAATTTTATTATTATTGTCACCATAGTAATTATTACGATATTTTTATTACTTCTATTGTCAACATCATTGTTACTTCATTTATTCTTATTATTATTATTATTATTAATATTATTATTATTATTATTATTATTATTATTATTATTATTTATTTTTAGTCCTTGTTTGCCATTTTGTTACCTAACTTTTTTTTAATAATTTTTCTTTTCAAATATTTTCAATTTTGAAATTAATGTATTAAAAATAATTTAATTATTGCAAAGAATTTTGTCAACAAATTTGCGATTAATTGAATTCCTTCGAAGAATTGTATTATTTATAAAAATCATTTTTGATTCTTGCGAAGAATTTTATTATTTCAAAATTCGAATTAAATTCTTTTGAAGAATTTCTTTGATTTTTTTTTTACAATAATGGAGTTTCTTTAATAATTTTAATTGAAAATTTTAAAACTAATTAGATATTATAAACAATTTCGTTCAATTTTTTTAAATAATCGTGTCTCTTAATAATTTAAAATAAACATTTAATTATTGAATTTTATTAGAATTTTTTTTTTAATAATTAAATTCTTCTTACAATTAGAAATTTATTACAATTTTCTAAAATATTAATTAATTCACTCAAGGAATTTTAATTGAAGATTTTTGCAGTTCATTGAATTAAACATATTAAATATTTGATTATTATTGAAGTTTATTAAAATTGTATTGAAAATAATTTAATTTCTGAGAATTTTATTAAAATTTATAAAAAATAATTTAATTCTTACGACGAATTTTACTACTACTTGTAAAAAAATTGAATTGTTAGGATCTATTAAACTTTTTGGATAATAATTGGATTCTTTAGAAAAACTAAAAAAAAATTAATTGTTTTGAAGGATTTATTAAAATTTTAGAAAATATTTGAATTTTTTCGATAAATATTATTAAAAATTTTTTTTAAAATTGAATTCCTTTGTGGCATTTTATTAAAATTGTATTAAAAATAGTTGAATTGTTTCGAAGCATTTATTACAATTTTTAGAAAAAAATTGAATTCCTTCATAAAATTTTATTGAAAATAATTTAATTTTTTCGTTGAAACTGTATTAAATTTTTGTAAAAAATTTTACTATTTATAGAAATAATAGAATTCTTCCAAAGATCGTTATTATTATGTATGAAAATAATTTAATTCTTGCAAAGAATTATAATAAAGTTTTTAAAAATATAAACAATAATAATTATAATAAGTGGATTTTTTAAATTTTGATTACGAAATTACTTAAAAAAATTTAATTTGAAAATAAAAAATTTTGTAATTTGCATAATAATATAATAATAATAATAATAATAATAATAATAATAATAATAATAATAATAATAATAAATTAAATATAACGTTACGTGCGCGTAACATTTGATAGCAAAAATAAATAAAAAGAATAATAAAAAAAATATATAAAAATTCAAAAATATAGCAAAAATGGATAATTTTTTAAAATTCAAACGAACTGCAATAGAAAAGGGGTTTTCTAATAAAAATAAATTCTATTGCCAAATAAATAAATATTGACAAATTTTTTCGTAGAATAGTGGCAACAAATCTATTTTTGCTAATAGAAATTTTTTCAATAATGTCTTTTTCATGTTCTCAAGATAAATTTTAAATCACCAGCAACACCTGTAACTAACAAACAAACTCATTAAATCAAAAATTATTTAAATTTTTTAAATTTAGTGGATTTAGTTTTTATACTACATCCCTACAAAGGTACCAAGACCCAAAAAATAGTTCTTAACAAAATGAATTATAAAATAAAAACTATGAATTATAAAAATTATAAAAATGAAACACTATGAAAAAATTAATAATATCTATTTTATGTTTTGCATTTGCAGAATATTTTTATAAAATTTTATATTTTTTTGTACATTGACTGATAGTGTCATGAATAAATTTTATTTATAAAAATATAGTAAAAAAAATATTTTTAATATTTATTTAAAAAAGATATTTCTTTTTTTCAGAATAATATTTCGAGGATATTTTAATTTCGGGATTTTTTGGAATATAAAATTATTTTAATATTATAAAAATGATTTACATAACATACTCTATGAAGTATAAGTGCGCGGTATTACACATATATTCTTAGTGAAAAGTTTTCTAATTGATTCAAACACATTCTGTAAACTAAAAAAATATTCATATAAATGATTCACAGAATTCAAGTTATAGATGAATCAGATAAAATTATATTATGCTAAATCTAATTTGCATATTTCCCACAATAGTTTATTCACCTTCTCTTTAATTCTCGTAATCTCGTAACAGTTCACGTGTGGACCCGCAATTTATTTCTCAACTCCACCCAATGTTTTTTATTCTTTTCTTTTCAAAAACAACTTGAGAATGTCAATTCTCAAAATTTTTCTGACTAACTTTTTAGTTTTCATTTTATATTTTCTTCTTTCCTTATTTTATATATTTCTATCAAGGTTTCTATTTATTTGTGTATTGTTTTCCTTTTTGTATTTTTTCTTTATTTCTTCTTTCTTTCTAGAATTAATTTTTATTGTTCCTTTTTGAAAAAGGAGGAAAAATTGTCATAACACTAAAAAAAAATATTTACACTTAACGTTAATTTAATTACCTCCCTTGTAAACTAATTTCTATTTTTTTGGGTCAAAAATTATCAGATTGAAAAAAAAAATTCTTTTCACCAAAGAAAGAAAAAAAAAGGAAAAACCATTCTAAATACGTTTAGGGGGTAATATTCTCGGCAGTGATTACAAAAACGTAATGTGCGCCTTTAATGGAAAAATAATGAACAATTACGTAAAATGAAAATCAACTAATTGAATCATATACGCGTTCCCAGAGTGAGAGAAAAGAGGAGATAATTATATTTCCCTTTTTCGTTGAATGCAAAAGCAAAACTTCTTTAAAAAAAAAAAATTATTTGAGAGGAGAATTAAATATGCCAAGTATGTATAATATAGAAATCGTGTTTATAATTATAATGAAATTTCTCAGCATTTCATTTATATATATTTGTCCTTCAATAATACCAGCGTCCCAATTTGCAAATCCCTTTAAATACTTCGTATATAATGCATAGCAGAAGTTGATTTTTGATAAAAATCTCGTAGCCGTAATTTAAAAAAATATTTCTAAATATATATTAAAATTCTTTAACCCAAAAAGAATGTTGTAATAAGACCAAAAAGTTTCGCCTCCTTTTTTTTATTAGTATTTTTATTTTCGTATTTTATGTTTTACAACCAAATTTCCCCAACTTTAGGATAATTGTGAAATAATTAAATCACAAAGAATTAGAAATATAAATTTCAAATATTTTACCTTCTTTTACATATTAAATTCTGCTTCTATTTTTTCGATTACTTTCACTTTTATTTTTAAATTTTATGTTTACGACCAAATTACCCCAACTGAATTGGGGTAATTTTGAAAGAAAACTAAATTTCAAATATTTTATATTCTTCTAAATGTTAAATTCCTTATTTTTAGTTTCGTTTTATTTTTATATTTATAAAATTTACCCAACTACGGGGTAATTCGGTAATTGTGTTTGAACAATTAAATTTCAAATGTTTGATATTCTTTTAAATATTAAATTGTATTTTTTGTTTTAACGCTGAAGAAAGGATGAAAATGATTAAAATTTTAAAATTTGGCATTCTTTAAAATTTTTTTTTTTTTTTTTTTTAATTTTATAAAAGAGCAATGACATTAATATACTTGAACTTCATTTATGCATCTGTAACAGTTATTAAACCAAATCTATTATTGTTCCTCAGAGGAAATATATAATTTTATTCAAGTGCACAACAATCGATTACGTTATGAACCAGGTGAAAGCTGCTATTTAGTGATTATTGTAATTATGCATGCACCGCATCAATGATCACGTGCAGGAACATTGATAGACAACCTTTTAATTCTTTTATAATAGTTCTACGCTGCACTTTCGTATTATATATCAATTTTATTTTAATTGTTATGCAAAAAACAAATATTTTAACTTTTTTATTTATATTTTATTTCAGAAAATTAATTTTTCTTTTACAATTACCCCCACGCAAGGAAAAAAATCAAATATTCAAATTAAAAATAAAAAAAAAATTCTATGGAAAAATTTAATATTCAAATTAAAATAAAAAAAAATTCTATTGAAAAATTTAATATTAAAATTAAAATAATAAAAAATTCAAAGAATAATTTTTCATTTTTTAGAAAAAAGAAATTTTTTCTGCGCACGTGCGCAATAATGAAGTCTAATATACACTTCTGGTTAGAAAAAAACGACAAATTAGATCCATATAATGATTACGCCATTCGGGCATGTTGGTAAATTATATTTGCAATAATTTCCCATGTACAAGGCGTAATATTGCAATTCGAAGTTTATTACGCGATCATTATATTTCGAAACTGACAGAAATTACCGAATTTTATTGCAATCTGTATACGTACATATTCAACTTTTAAGGCAAATATTCTTAATTAGATTACATTTTCTATTTCGATAACAAGAATCGAGTACATTTAGAGTTGGATAAAAAAAATTTTTTTAACGTCTTTTTATAATTTTTTACATTTTCATTTGTCTTAAGTTCAATTTCCACTCTAAAAAAAAAAAAAAAAAAATATTGATAATTAAATTGATTAACTATAAAATTCGTAAGAAAAACTAATTATTTTTATACGTTTTAATAACATTTCAATTCATTTCTATTTTTTTTTTATTTTTTTTTATTTTTTTTTTTTTTTAATAATTTGTGTAGTAATCAGTTGTTGTAATAATTTGTTGAAAATTTGTAAAATTTTCCAAATTTTTAATAAAATTCTTTCAAAACATTCAATTATTTTCAAAAATTCTTCAAAACAATTCAATTATTCTCATAAATAATAACATTCTTTATAGAAGAATTCATTTATTTTCATAAAATTTCTAGAAAAAATACAATTATATATTTAAAAATATTAATTCGATTATTTTCAACAATTTTGATAAAAATTCTTTAAAAATTAAGTATATATTTAAACATTTTAATAAAATTATTTCGATTAAATTCAATTATTTTCAAAATTTTTAATAAAATTCTTTCAAAAAAAAATTTAATTATTTTTAAAAATTCTGATCAAAATTCTTTGGAGGAATTCAAATTATTTTCATAAATAATAAAATACTTCGCAGGAGTTAAATAATTTTTAATAAAATTTCTCGATAAAATGTGCGCAATTATTTTTAAAAATATTACAATTATTTTCAACTGTTTTTATAAAATTCTTAAGAAAAATTAATTATTTTTATACGTTTTAATAACTTTTTTCAATTGAATTCAATTATTTTCAAAATTTTGAATAAAATATTCTTTCAAAACATTGAATTATTTTCAAAAATTCTGATAAAATTCTTCGAAACAATATTGAATTATTTTTAAAAATTGTAAAATTCATCCACAAAAATTCAATTATTTTTAAAAAATTGGAATAAAATTTTCTCTAAAAAATTCAATTATTTTCAAAAGTTTTTTTTAGAAAATTCAATTTCAATTATTTTTCAAAATTTTCAGTGAAAATTATTTTAAAAAATTAAACATTATTTTTACAAAATAGATATAAAGAAATTCTGCAAAAAATTTTAATTGTTTACAAAAACAAATAAAATTCTTTAAAAGAATTAAATTTTCTGTCAATAATTTCAAAAAAAAAAAATTATTAACTACAATTAATAATAAACACGATTAGAAACTTAAAAATTCAATTACTTTCAAAATTTTCAATAAAAAATATTAAAAAAAACATTAGTTTTTTAAAAATAAAAGAAAAAAATGTTTATAAATTCTATTTGTCAAAATTAAAAATTCTCATTGAAAATGAAATGGAAAATTTTTTTATTTTTAGAAAATAAAGGAAAAAATTTTACTCAAAAAAAATGTTCTCCTACATAAATTTATTTCATTGTAAAATTATTCGAAAACATCAAAAACTTCATTTTTTAAAGAAATTTATTTATTTATTTATTATTATTTTTCGACATATGAATTAGAATATTAAAAAACTTCAAATTCAAACCTTTTTTTAAATTAAACAACTTATAATAATTAAAGATGACCGAGTGATAAAATCATTATTTTTTATTATAAGAATATTGTTAACTGTATAACTATTCTTCAAAATTGTTTTCATCATTTCAATTTAATTATTATTTTCTAGAATTTTTAATTATTTTTTATGAAAATAATTGAATTCCTTAAGAAAAATTTTATTATTTATGATAATAATTGAATTATTGCAAAGAAATTTTCTAAAAAAATTTGTAAATAATTGAATTCCTGTCAAATTTTTATTATTTATGAAAAATAATTAAATGTATGCGTACAATTTTATTCAATTTTTTTTTAATAATTGAATTCTTTTTGGGAAATTTTATAGAAATAGTAGTTATTGAAAATCATTGAATTGAGGGACTTTATTTGAAAATAATTGAAATTTCGTTAAGAATTTTATTAAATTTTTTTTGAAAAAAATTGAATTTTAGAGAAGAATTTTATTAAATTTGTAAAGATAATTGAAATTTTTTAAATTTTCGAATATAATTGAATTTTTAAGAAGAAGTCTTAATACTTTTGAAAATTATTGAATATCTGCAATTATTTATAATATCTGCAATTATTTATAATTTCTGCAAAATTCAATTTTTTTAAAGTTTTCAACAGAAAGAATTAAAAAAATTTTTAATTCTATTATTTTCAAAGTTGCTAATTTTATTTTAAAAAAAGTAAGTAAGAAGTTAGTTTTTCGTTACATACATCATTAGCTATAGAGTTTCTTTTATAACATATATAATAATAAAATAGCAATTCGTCTCAAAATTTCTCCAAACTGACAAGTGATTATTGCCCTTTGAATAAATTTATTGCACCGATTTATTTCATATTTCAAAGTCTATACGAACCTTTAACAAAGTTAAAAGAAAATAATAAAAAATAAAAATATAAATAAATAAAAATAATAAAAAATATTTCATATTCTGTCTTGACTATTGATGTGTAAATAATCGAAAGGTTATATAATTTTCCCATTGGGTAGGGCTTTTGATTCTAATATATATTAGGTACTTTCACACGATCTCAAATACATAAATAGCTTTGGGCAATACGCATATTATACTTTCAAACATATTTGGTATTAATATTCCGTAATCATATTATATTTCTTATTTTAACATTCTTTATAAATCTTTTTATTTAAATGGAAATGATATATATGAACCTACTGCGAAATGTTTTCTTATATCGTTGTGGTCTATTTACCGTTTGCAAATTTTGTAATAACGATTCGAATTTACTGAATATTAATAAAAAAAAATTTATTCGCCTGCGAAATTATTTGAAATAATGAATTACAATGATAATCGGAGATTTGTAAACTTAATTAATTACATGCAACCTAACCTTAAATTAAGAAGTAACAAAATATACTTTTTATAATAATGTTTACTTTTTTATTTCTTAAATTTTAACTAAATGCGTCTTTTGACTTTCCGTTTTCACTAAAGTTGTAATTTTTAACTGTAAACATCAATAATTCAATGCAATTCGTTATTTTGTCATTTCTCAATTTTATTTACCCTTTTCACCTTTCACCAAAAAAACGTTTTTACTAAGTTTGTAATCTGAACTATAAACATCAATGCAATTTTCCATTTTATCACTTTTCACCCTTTTCACATTTTTCGAATACTATTGAAAAAAATACATTTTTTAATAACTAAAGTTTCTTGCATTTCTTGTAAATTTTTTAACGACTGCGAGCAGTCGGGACTCGGGAGTGGTCGGGTCTCGGGATGAGCGTCTTTGCTGGTCTTTGCTCTGTAGTACAGGGTTGAGAAGTCACGCGTAACTTTAATGAGGGTGGTTCTACAAAAACCATTTTTTCCCCGAATATATGATTAAATGTAAACATAATTATTCAAACGATGGTCGAAGACTCATTTTGTTAAAAATTTTACAAGAAACTAGTTTTTGAATTAACAAAAAATATATTTTTTCTACAATGTCATTGAACTTCGCAAGCATGTAGTGTATACGTACCATAATTTTAATGTTCCGATTTGTTGGCAACACTGCTGACTCAGTGCGAGCAACTTTATAGTAAACATAACTATTTGCAAGCGTAGCGTCCCTTGATGCTCTCGAGAATTTACAAGTTTAATCTTATTTAATTCTAATTCATATTCCATAATTACAAGTTTTCTCGAAAATTTATTTAAAAAACGTATTTCTCCGCAATGTTTAAATAGCATGAAAAGTGATAAAATTGTGACGTGATTGTGACTATCACATTTAATTCTTCGTCAATTGGGTGCAAAAAAAATGCCAATTCAGACTAGTCGTTGAAAAACGTGCCGTTTCAAAAAACATTAAACTTGCCATTTGACTATGAGATTTGGAAAACATGCCGACTTAGAATTGACGTTTTTTTTTGTATTTTTGGTTGTTAGTACAAAAAAAAGTGAGGTTAGGTTTACCAATTTTTAATTTATCGTTAAAAAATACGTATCCGGGGGAAAATTATTTCCCAACTTAAAATCGAATGTTTTCAAATCGGGCTGATTCTTGCACAAACTTTAGTACTATGGAAGAGAACTTTACCCATGAAATATTAAAAATTGTAGAGGGGGGATGGGGTTAAAGTTTTTGGTGAAGTGTGAACAGTGGATTTTGTTAGCTTCTGTAACTTAAAATACAGTAGAGTGGACAAAATTTTGACCTATATGTTTTCGAAAGGTTTTTTCCTTCTCTTTCGAATAGTGCAAAATTTTTTTTTTTTTAATTCAAAATTTAACTTAATTTTTTCAAAATCAAAAATATTTTTGACTTTTTTTTGAAAAAATGGCATTTTTTTTTCTTCTTTTTTGTTTGCTTTAAAATAAAGCTTAATATGTGTACTTTCAATGCCCGAATAGAAAAATATGCCGTTTTTTTGTTCTCGAATTATTTAGTGTAATTTGGACTAATTTTTGAATTTGTTCCTAAGAAAGGCAAATAAATCCTTCATAACCTCGTTCTACTTTTTAAAAACATGGAAATAGGTCTACCTGTCTAATTCAGTTCTTCGAATTAGACAATTTGTCCCTGCCTCAATTATCTTATTATTCCAACAACTTGTTATGGAAATGATCAAATTTTTATTTTCTACTACAGGATAGGAATCGTTTATATAAATATATAGAATAGAAAATGAATCTTCTATATTGGCATAAAATTTTATATTTCAAGAGTTAATTAAAATTTATTATTAAAAAAATTAAATTTAAAAGTATTAATATCGCAATATTTCCAAAAAGTAAAGTAAATTTTACTATTATTTTAAATAAAATTTACTCAGGAAATGTACTATTCTGATTTTCCCGAAATGTGCAATTTGGGGTTTGCTTTATAAAGTATAGTACTCAAAGTTATACTTTATATTTTTCCCCGAGTATATTTATATATATATATAGGAAATGGCAAAAAGTGAAGTATTAGTTAAAAGGTAATAATTACTTACACACCAATAACTCCAGGTTTATCTTGAAAGTAATCCTTCCTCATTATGTGTTTGTAATAGTGCAAGGATGGCATCGATGGTCTAAATGGCATTTTCTCTTCCTGTCTGAAAAGCCGTTCAATTTCATTCGCATCGTACACGAATACCATATCCGGTCTATTGAGTAAACCGTCCATTTTCACCACATCACCGTATTGTTGATGTAATCTTTTTGAAACTTTGTCTATTTCCTCTATGTTATAATCACCTAGAAAAGAATCGATAAATCTTAACAAGATGCATCAATTCCACTTTTATAGTATATTTTCAATAAAAAAAATTATTTTCTCTATTTTCCAAAAAATTATTGTCTTTTCTTCAGTACTATATGTAAAATAGGAAAAATGAATCAATATGGAAAAGTAGCTAAAACATTGACAAATATAAAAATTTTTATATATAAAAGAAAAATACAATTTTATTGAAATATGAAAAATTGTATGTTTTTTCAAACATAGAGAATAATTGAAAAATATTAATATAATTATTTATAAAAGTAAAATGATAAAAATATATTTTCAGTATGTTATTAAAATTTAGTTGTGTGAAAGAAAATATATTAAAATATAATGGGCAGTAGTTACTTTTTTTTAAAATTTGACCTCATTTCCCTTCTCTTTTGTATTACAATAATTTTCAAATACCTTTCAGAAAGAATTTTTTTTTGTATAAAATCGTAAAAAAACATACTTCAAGCAAAAGTAAATTTTTTAATGATAATGGTAAAATTTATATTAATCACTAAATAACAAACAACGAAAAATCAAATTGCCGCACATAAAAAAAGTCAAAAAAAAAAAAAAAAAATTCGTAAAATGTCGGGAAAATCAAAATAAAATTAACAATGAAGAAATACGAATTAAAAAATAAGACAACAAATGTAAGAAATGTTAGGAAATTAACAATGAAGAAATATAGAAATTAAAAAAATAAGAGCAAATCAAAAAACTATCGGAAAATTCAAAATAAAATTAACAATGAAGAAGTGCAATTAAAAAATAAGAACAAATCAAAAAGTTTTCGGGAAATTCAAAATAAAATAAACAATGAAGAAATATAATTAAAAAATAAAAACAAATGTATAAGAAATATCGGGAAATTCAAAATAAAATTAACAATGAAGAAATACAATTAAGAAATAAGAGTAATCAAAAAATTATCAGGAAATTCAAAATGAAATTAACAATGAAGAAATACAATTAAAAAATAATGTAAGAAATATTGCGAAATTGAAAATAAAATTAATAATGAAGAAATGCAAATAAAAAAGAAAATAACAAATTCAAGAAATATCGGGAAATGTTAAATAAAATTAACATTGAAGAAATGCATTTTCAAAATAACAAATGTAATAAGAAATATTGGGAAAGTTAAAATAAAATTAACAATGAAGAAATGGAGTTAAAAAAATTTCGGGAAATTCAAAATAAAGTTAACAATGAAGAAATACAGTTAAAATATAGTTATATTAAGAACAATAAGCAATTAAAAAATAATAATTTTTACCTATAAATGGCAAAAATCGCCACGTATTTCCAAGTAGTGGAATTGACTTTGGTCCAGGCATTTCATTGTACGGCCTAATGTGAGACACATCTTGCTGACGTTCATCATGAATTGTCGTCGTTAATGTTTCTACTGTTTTCGACAATTTTCCCGTACAAATATTTCGAACAAAAAGAGGTTTCGCTAAATTCGAAATACATCCAATTGTCTTCATTTTCATTATCTAAAAAGAATATTATTTACAAAACACAATTTTTTTAATCAGTATTTTTATTAATTAGGTAAATATAAAAAAAGCATTTTTTTTCTTAGAACCAAACTTTTCATTTTCTTGCAAAAAAAAAATAATAATAAATAGACAGTGTTAGTAATAAAAGAAAATTTTTTTGAAAACTTTGAATCTTAATTTTATTAGAAAATATTATAATTTTGTCACTATACGTACTTGTAAATAAATAAATAAATGAAAAAATTATAAAAAATCCTAAAATAAAAATAACTTATAATTTCTTGATCAAATGCTACAACGAAATTGCTAACTATTTTAATAAAAGTTTTATAAAAAACTTTTTTTTTTTATTAATAAACTTAATTTAATAAAAATATTATAATGAATGAATAAAAAAGTATAAAAAATAATTATACATAAAATTGTAATAAATAAATATTTTAATAGGTAAAAAATTTGAATAATTAAAAATTATAATAAATTTAAATTTTCTTCATTACCATTCAACTACAGATGCTCATCACTGAATCTATTTTCAAAATTCTTTAAATTTCCTCTTGAAAATACCCTTTTTTCTCTAGTAGCTAAAAAATTTAATAAAAAATATCATCAGTTCGTAAGTTAAAATTTTTTTACCCACTAAAATAATAAAAAAGAAAAATTAGTAAAACTTCCGTACAATAAATAAAATGAAGTAAAATAGTATAATTGATTATATCGATAAATAAATTGTAGTCAATATATTTAAAAATACCAGTTTTCGACAAATATTCAAAATGAATATATTTGTAATAAAATAGATAAAAATTTTCTGTCGAAGAATATTTTTCTTTTAACAACCAGGTGGAAAAAAAAAAATTTTTATCTTTCATTTTTCCCCAATTCACAATATTCTATTTTTCCTTCTATTTAACTTAAGTTTCCCATTGGGCTATAGTGTAAAGTGGCGCGCCTAAAAATTACGTAATATTTCCTAGAAAAAAAAATGTTGAAATTTTGATTTAATTACTTATTTCATTTTCACAAATATGATTATTTTTATCTATGTGACGTCAGTATTGAAATATCGCAAAACAGTTTTCAAATTATAGGATATAAAAAAAAAATCCAACAAATCGTTTATAGGTAGGGGCCTTCCCTTCAACACTGTTTCAGTTAATTAATAAATATTTATTGAAATGATAATTAAATATAATTAAAAATTATGATAATAATGAATTAGAAGTAAAATAATATATAATTAAATAAAAAAATAATTATTATATCAGGAAATAAAAAAAAAAATAAAAAAAAATTCAAAAAAAAATAAAAAATTCAAAATAAAATTAACAATGAAATCTGTGTTATATTATATAAATATAAATATCGACAAATAATATATATATATTATATTTTTATATTATTTATATATTTATTTACTCAATTAACTAATTCGAAATAAATTTTATTATTCCTTTTTTATAAGTCATAATTTGAAAGAAAAAAAATTTCATAATTGAAGGCCGCGGCCCTTATTGTGAAAAGTGAAAATAAAAAGAATTTTAATAAAACTTTCTTCGTGATCTATAATGCATTCACATTTAAATCTCCAAAGAAATTTGATGACAGGTCGTAAGCTTTAATTTCATTGAAGTTATATATATAAACATAACTTTCCGCTCTACAAACACAATGATTAAAATCGTAAAAAAAACTTGAATTATTGTTACATTCGCACAATTAGATTATTATGAAATAGAATTACGCATTTTTGTGTATAGTAAACCTTTCGAGAAGGAAAAGCATTCACTTCCTCCAAAATTATTCACTACCGTAAGAAAAGTGTTTTACCATTTTTTATTATGTTTCATTAAAAAAAAAAAAAAAAAAAAAAAAAAATCTACGAAAATTTATTTTTTTAAAGGAAAATTTAACTAACTTCAATTTAAAAATAAAAATATTATTATTAATTAACTGTTAATGTTAATAATATAAATTATTTGATATTCAATTTATTTTTGTTTAGAAAATTTATTGAATAATAAATTAATTATATAGTAAATAATATTTATATGTTTAATAACTATTACTTAATTGCTTAATATTTATTTAGTAATGTATCTATTTAATATAATTATTAATTTATAAAAAATTACTTTCTATTATTTTTTGAAAGAAAATTGAATTAATCGAAAAAAGTTAACTTTTATTCAGTGCAATAAAAAACAATATAAATTAATTTATGTCAAGTATTATATTATAATTTTAAGTAATTAATAGCAGAAATTATAATTATTAATAATGTATAAAATAATAATAATAATAATAATAATAATAATAATAATAGAAAATTATAATAATTGATTGCTTAGTCGATTTTTATGAATAAGTTAATTTTTTCCACTTAATTTTTCATTAATTTAATATTTTTAACAATTCAATTAATTAAAAAAAAAATTAAATTGAAAAAAAATTAATTAATTAATTAATTAATTAATTAAAATTAAATTGAATTCAATTAAAATTAAATGAAATTGAAACCAAACTTAAATTAAATTTAAATTATTTTTAAATTCAAAAATTAATTTTTTATTAAAAAAAAACAACACTTACGGTGAAATATGAGAATGTTTCATATGTAAAAATCCCCAGAAAAGAAAAGTGAAAGAAAAAAAGAGAAAAAAGAACAAAAAGGAAAATTGTAACTTCACATTAAAACGATGAGAATAGATTTTTCACTTTCAATTTCAATGATATTATTGAAGAGCGCGGAGATGATCGCGATCAATATAGACACACATTTAATATTTAAAATCGAGCGCGCTCTAAACAGTTAAATGTACTTCTGACTTGGCGCGTGTTTTATTTCATATACATTTGAGCCTAGGCGAAGCGAAGAAGATATAAAATAAATAGTCAGGGTGGGAGATTTGAAAGGAAACAGGAAAACGTCCCAAGTCTTTTGTAATTTTCATATTATGAGAGGGACCTCGACAATTTTTTTTTCTTAATCTACGAGCAGTTTTCATAATTTGGGAAAGAAAAAAATGAAAATTTTCATTTAAAAAAATTTGTTTTCTATAAAATTTCTATATTTTTTTTTATATAATATAGTTTACATTTTTTATAGAATTAAAAATTTTTAATTTTTAAAAAATTTTTAAAATTTTTAAAAATTAAAAATTTTAAAATGTGGAGTATTTTTTTGAAAATTTTCTATATGGGAGTTCTTTTTAAAAATTGCTGAAAAAAAAGAATAATATTTTTTCATTTTTCTCAAATTCAAAACATTTTGTTTCTAAAATATTTTTTTTTTCTTAACTTTCTTTTTGAAAAATTTTTAATAATTATTAATAAAAATTGTCTTACAAAACAATTTATTTAAAAAGTACTGGACTATACTGAGAAATTTGAAAAAAAAAATTTAACATTTAAAAAATGTTAAAAACAACCAGAATTATCTCAATTTAAAAAATTAATACATAGATTTTCAAATTTGAATGTTTTCAAAAAATATTTTTTAAATTTTCAAAATCGTCTTCATTTTGTTTTTTCTTATACCTACTATTATAGCTAGAAGGAAAAAAAAGTTTCAAGAAAATTGCTAACTTTGAAAAATCGTTGATCAGTTCACATGAAATTACTCCAAATAAAAAAAAAAATATAGGAAAATTCAAATAAAATGAACAAAAGGTGTAATTAAAAAAAATAAAAAAAATAAGAACAAATGTAAAAAAATATCAGGAAATTCAAAATAAAATTAACAATGAAGAAATACAATTAAAAAACAATAGAAAATAAAAAAAAATTAGAATTTGGTTACTTTTAATTTTTTTTTTAAATTTCTATATCTTTTTATATAGTTTACACGTATTTTTTATAGAATTAAAAAATTACTTTTTAATACAATTTCAAAATGTTCGAGTATTTCTTGAAAATTTTCCATGGAAGCATTTTATAAAATTTAAAAAAAAAAAGAATATTAAAAATATTGTCATTTTTTTCAAATATTATACATTTTGTTATTTTTACAACTCTTTTTTTCGTTTTTTTTATCCAATAATATAAAATTTATTTTTCATATTGTTTTTGCAATATTTTATTATTTTAATTTTTAGTATATCGAGTATTTTATGTCAATATTTCAATTATTTATTTTATTTATGAAAGTTCAATATTATTATAAATTTTTTAAATTTGTTATTTACGAAAGCAGAAAATTATTTTACTGAAATTCCATAAAAAATAATTTATGAAATACGGGGAAACTTAGAAATTTTTTTGTAAAATTATTTTTATAAATCTGATTATAAATCTGATTTCTAAATTCCATTCAATTATTTGGTTTTCGTAAAATATTTAACCTTCACAAATTAATAAAATAGGAATATATATTAATAGCGATTTAAAAACACAGATGCATATATAAAATATTTGCATTTTTTTACTAATCTAAAAATATCGCAGCGGCTGCATTTTGTAGCGATTGCGAAAAAAAATTATGAAAAGAACATTTTATTTTAATTTTATTTTAAATAAAATAATCGAGATAATCTGTCGTCACGTAAAATTAAAGTTTTGTGATTTCAAATTATTTTATAGCTCAAATTGTTATGTGAAATGTTTGACAGTTAATTTGTAAATAATAAAATAATTGGAGTAAGAAAATTTAATCCAAATTTCAAAAACTCAATAAAAAGGTACAGTTGCAATTTTTAAAAATAATTAATTAATTATATTTCCGAAAATAATTTTTAAAAAATTGAAACTATTGAAAATTTTGTTAAATTTCATATAGAAATAAATTTTATATTTTAATGAATTTTATTCGTTTACTTCATTTAAAAATTATTTTGAATTAAAATCGTATTTTCGAAGACTTCTAATTGAAAATGTTGAAGTTTTTTTTTTGTTTTTTTTCAATTGAAAATTTAGAATTAAACTTATTATCAGGAGTGTTTTATAGTGGTACTTGAAAGTAAAATTAATTTATTTTTGATCTGCATTAGTTTTCATTGTTTCGAAAAATTTAAATAATTTCACGTTTTCAAAAAAGAAAAATATGTAGAAAATATAAAAACACACTTTGTTTACTGAAAAATATCGAAGAAAAGAAAACTTCAACTAGAAAAAATGTTGAAAAACTAGGAATATATATTTACAATTAAATATTTACATAAATAATGTAAAATTTGCGGCATAGTTCGAATTTTTTTTTTTTTTTTTTTTTTTACTTAGTAAATCAAAAATATCAATTAAAACAATTGAATATTTTTTTTCTTTTATTAAATTTTTTCTTAACATTATGTGTCATACCACTTTGACTTAACTTGCGAAGAACTGACGAGTTTTTGTTTATAACTGTTGACAAGTTTGGTAAAATTTTTCTCATCTGAATTGACTTTCTTCTTTCCCTGTTTCGGCTGGAAAAGAGAAAAAAAAATAGAAATAAATTATAAAAATTACGAAACAATTAGTAAACAACAATTAATAATTTTTTTTATAACAAACACAAAAAAATAAAAAATAAAAACTGACCTTTATTTCTCTTCTCGATTGAGCCTCATTTTGTTTCTTCTGCTTCAAGAATTTCGCCATTTTTGTTTGCTTCTTTTGATTTTTTAATAAATCCTTATACAATCCCGCTTGTTTTTCAACTTTAAATGTTGGTTTTCCCTTTATTTTTGATGGTTGACTCATAATTCCCTGATAAGAATCAGACTGAAAAAAAAATTTACACATAAAAATTTCGTCTACATAATATTTAAAAATCCTTTTTAATTTAAATACCAAAAAAAAAAATGTTTGAATAAAATAAATTTTTTAATGTCTTAAAAAAAAAAAAAAAAAATACGAACCGAAGTTTTTGGTTTTTGTTCCTTTTCAAATTTCCGCCGCTTTTTTTGTGGTTCTTCGGATTTTTCCTTATTTCCCGTCCAAAGTGGATTATTTTCCCTACTTTTGTTAAATCGCTTCTGTTTCGCATTAATAATCACACGATTTTCTATCGAAAAAGCGACGATTGGCCTCTGAAAAAAATTAATTTAAAAGTTCTATTAAAAAAACTGTCGATTATGGAAAATTTGTAATTAAAGTTAAAATAGAAATTAGTAAAATATTAAATCGAATTAATAAAATATTGAATAGAATTTAAAAAAAAATGAATAAAATTAAAAAAAAAAATTGAACAGAGTTTCAAAATATTGAACAGAGTTTAAAAATGTTGAATAGACTTTAAAAAATATTGAATAGTATTAATAAAAAATTGAATAGAATTTAAAAAAAAAATGAAAAGAATTTAAAAAATATTAAACAGAATTGAAAAATATTGAATAGAGTTTCAAAATAATGAATAGACTTTTAAAAATATTGAATAAAATTAACAAAAACTACTTTTTTTATTAAAAATAATAATAAATAGTATTTATTTAAGAATAAATATCGGTATTTAAAAAATAAATAAAACTAAACCAAATAAAAAGACTGAAAAACTAACTAAAAAAAAATTTGAAATTAATATTTAACCTTTTGCTTTGAAAAAATATTTGGATTATTATTAATGCTCCTTAGAGCTTTCAAAGCATCTTCATGTGAAGTAAATGAGACAAAACCATATTCTTTCGATTCTCCAATTCCATTTGCGTCCGGTTTTCTTAAATTTCTCATCACACGTGCCTGAAAAAAAAAATTAAGAAGCGCAATTAATTTTTTGTTTTCCCTTTCTTTATTTTATTCCTTTATTCAAAATTATTATTTGCTTCCTATTGAAAAATGTTAAAATTTCAAAAAAAAAAAAATAAATAAAAATTTAAAAGGAAATTTTTTACCTCAGAGATGACGGCATTTGGTCCAGAGTGTTTTTTGAAAATTTCCCGAAGTTGTGAATCGTTCATTGACGGCGGTAAATTTTGTACAACGAGACGAATTCTCGAAACGAACATATTCAAGTTGCGTAAAATTTGCGATTTCCATCGTTCTAGTTGCAAGCGTTTCTCAATATCTTGAGCCGAGACGCCGACTGCAGATGGATGACGAGCGAGAATTACTGAAACGAAAACGAAACGATATTGTCATTAATTTTTAAAATTTAAATAATAATTTGTTAAATTAAAAAATTTTAAATCATTACCTACATTAAAAAATTTTTTTTTTTTTTTATTTTATATAGATTAAAAAAATTTAATTTCTTTAAATGAAAAAACTTCAATTTATTTAAATTATAAAATTAATAATTTCTAAACGTTCCAGAGGAGACGAAAATATTTTTTTTTTTTTAAATATTAAATATTAAATATTTTTTTTTTTAATCTTATATTTAAAAATAAATTGACAATACTTGAAAAAATGCATAAATTCTTTTATAGCTTTAAATAGAATTTGAAAAAATACCTCCTTCCTTGACTAGATACAAATTTCTCGAGTCCTTGACTTTTTCGGATTTTATATTCTTCCTCTCAACCACTTCATTTTTATGAAGTGCACGATGTGGATCTAAGATTTGATCAAAAATTTTCAATTCTGTACCAGCCGCTAAACACTTTTCGGCGTCTTCGACATTCTGAAATTTAAAGAAATAAAATTAAATAAACAAAACATTTTAATTTTCCTAAGAATTCAATTATTTAAAAATATTTGCATAAAATTCTTTAAATAGTAATTCAATTATTTTCAATATAATGTTAATAGAATTATTCGAAAGAATACAATTATTATTAAAAATTTTATGAACATTCTTCGTGGAAAATTCAATTAATTTCATAAATAATAAAAATCCCAAAATGGAATTCAATTATTTAAAACAAAAATTGAATAAAACTTTTTATAAGAGTATAATTAAATTCCTCGAAAGAATTTTATTATTTTTAATAACTTTAATAGAATTCTTCGAAACCATTGAATATTTAAACATTTAATTATTGAATTTTATTAAAATTTTTAGATATTTATAAAAAATAATTGTTAAAAATTATTTTTAAATGTAGAAAATAATTGAATTTTTTCGAAAAATATTATTGAAAATTGAAAAAAGTAATTGAATTCTTTCATGAAAATTGTATTAAAAATAATTGAATTGTTTGAAAAGATTTATTAAAATTTAAGAAAATAATTAAATTCTTTTGAAAACTTTTATAACAAATAAAAAAATTAATTTCCATCGTGAAATTTTATATTGAAAATAATTGAATTTTTTCGAAAGTGACATTCTTTTGAAAATTGTCGAAAAAAGTCGAAAAAAACGATAATAACCAAAGCTTGGAAATTTAATTCAAAAAGAAGAAAAAAATAAGAGTCAATTACCCTAAATTTGACAAAAGCTGTTCCTTTAGAATGTTCAGTCAAAGGATCAACGCAAACTAATGCATAAAAAACGGGTCCAAATTGTTCCATGCAATATTTCAGATCCTCATTCTTTGCTTGGAAAGGAACATTTTTTAGAAAAACGGTTTTTCCTTCACTGACATCATTCGAAACTCTACGCGGTCTTGAATCATCATCTTCTTCGATTTTAAACTTTTTCTCATCTTTTTCGTCTTCATCATCATCATCATCATCATTTTCCTCATCTTCATCATCATTTTCATCATCTTCTTCGTCTTCATCATCATCATCGCTTTTTTCGCTCTTCACCGAAGCATCGTCATCCTCACTTTTAACCGACGCTTTTTCATCATCATCATCATCATCATCAGTTTCCGGTTCCTCTTTTATTTCGACAGGAATGTCGGTTTCAATTTTCGTTTCGCCTTCAGTTTCGTCGGTGATGTCAATTTCCTCGTGCTTAACTTCCGGTGTTGTGTTAAATTTACTCTTTGGAACGGCCCAATCGACGACGACTTCCCTGTCGAGAAGGGGTTTCAAATTTAAATAGTGAATTGCTTGCGCCGCACTTTGAACCCTTTCAAATTGAACGAATGCACAGCCGATTGGGGTGCCGTTCGGTTTCTTCAATATTTGAACGTCTTCAACTTTCCCGTGTTGGGAGAAATGTTCTTTTATATTTTCCTCAGTTGCCTGCAATGTGAAAGAAAATTAATAATTATAAAAATCAATTTTATTTTCTACCAAAAAAATAGTTTTACAATTTTATAAAAAAAAATCTGATTTTTATTTCTTTTTGTTATTTTTTATTTTTTTTTTATTTAAATTCCTTTTCTTTTACTTTTCATATTCATTTATTTTTTATTAATATTGTCCCGTTATTAAAAGTAAATAAATAAACTAAATAAATTTTTTTTTTTTTTTCTACAAGAAAATAATAACTTTTTTTTACCTTGAACGACAAATTACGAACGACAATTCGCGCTCGTTTCTTTCGTTTCTGATTTTTCTGTAATTTTCGTTCTTCTGCTTTATTTAAATTTTGATTCTTCTTGTTCTTTTTTTTCACTGATTTTTCTTCCTCTTTTTCTTCTTTTTCTGCATCAGCAGCATCATCATCATCTTCTTTCTCTTTATTTTCTTTCAATTCCACAACATTTTCCGATTCTTCTTCAGGATTTTCTTCCTTTTTCACTTTCTCGTAATATTTATCCTTTGATATTGCCCAATCAGTATTTATTGGTCGTCCTTTAATTAAAAAAAGAGAAAATTAATTTTTCAGTAAAAAAAATTAACATTAACAGTCAAATAAAAAAAAATAACTAACTGAAAATAATAATATAATAATAAAAATAATAATAAATAATAATATAAATAAAAGATGTTTTGATATTATTTTTATTGCTTTCGAAAAATATTGAATTAATAAATAATACCTAATAAAAAAAAAAAAAAAAAATAATACCTAATAATAAATAATAATAAAAATAATATAAGAAAAAAATAGTAACAAAAATAACAAAAAATAGTAATAATAAATAAGTGTGAAATTGTGAAAATAAAAAAAAATAATAGTGAAAATATTAAAAAAAAAAAAAAAAAGTAAAAAGAATAACAAAAAGAATCACCTAAAACTTCTTGTTTGTTGGTTTGAAATATTGCCTTCGATGCGTCCGTCACTCTTTTAAATTGAACAAAACCGCAGCCCACTGGTTTTCCATCTGGACGTCGAAGTAAATTAATTTCCTCAATTTCTCCAAATGGTTCATACAAACGTCGAACATCACCTTCTGTTATCTAATTTTGTAAATTAAAAAACAATTTTTCATTTACATTATTTCAAAGTATTTTTTCAACAATTTTTTTCAAATTTTATTTCTAAACACTTTAATAAAATTTTTTTTACAATTAAAAATTTATTTCCAAGAAAATTAGACGAGATCCTGACTCTTTAAATAATTAATATTTAATTTTTCATAAGTGTACTCTTCGCTAATAATCCATCATTTGTATCTACAATGATAAAAATAATTACAATGTTTATTAAAAAAAAAAAAAAATGCGACGGTCTCCGAAGAAAGAAAAAGCAAACTTTTAGGTTATGTTTATTATTTTTGGAGTAGAAGCAAATTATTATTACAAATTAATAAATTATTGATATTCAAACCTTAAAAACGTCTTTAAAAAACTGGTTTTAAATTTAAATAAAGTATTTTTTTTTTTTTTTTTTTTTTTTTTTTAATACTAAAACAGAAACTTTTAATGAAGATAGATTTAAAATAAACATAACCTATAATTCGTCTGCTTCTTAGGTACCTTTAACAGAAGCGCGTCATATATAAACAATTAATAATTAATAGTAAAAAATAAATACAGCAATAAATAAAAAAAGCAGTAGAAATTTATTGTAGTAAAAACTTAACAAAAGTGGGTTTACAATATTTTTTGAAACTCAGGAAGTAATTTTTTTTTCCACAATACATTTTATTTTCTCCAGGCAAGCGTGATGTTCCGGTAAAAAATCTCCACTGTTCATATAGATCTTCAGTTTTCTAAGACATTCCAGTGCTTCTAAAGTTGTTATTTTTTCTTCTTTTAGATTTTCGTAATTATCCTCATTCTTTACCCCCAACAATTTGAAGCCTTCATCATCAATATCAATTTCTTCAGAATTATTAATAATTATTTCTTCATCGTCATCTGTCTCATTTTTTACCCCCAACAATTTTTCGCCATCATCAAAATTATTTTTCATTATTTCTTCATCGTCATCTCTTTCATTCTTCATCCCTAAAAATTTGTCACCATCATCAACATCAATTTCATCAGAATTATTCATAATTATTTCTTCATCGTCAACTCTTTCATTCTTTACCCTCGACAATTTGTCGCCATCATCATCAACAACATCAATATTATTTTTCATTATTTCTTCATCGTCATCTCTTTCATTCTTCGCCCACAACAATTTGTCGCCATCATCAACATCCATTTTATCAGAATTATTCTTAACTATTTCTACATCGTCATCTTTCTCATTCTTTACCCTCGACAACTGGACATCAACGAAATTATTCATCATCTCATCGCCTGATATTGTTTCTTCACTATCATCATTATCATCATTATCATCATTATCATCATCATCATTGTCATCATTGTCCGATTCGCTGACTAAATTCCCCTCAACTCTCCCACCAGTGATGAAATTCAAAATATCATCATCCGATCTTGGTTCCCAGCCATAATCACCGTACTCCACATCATTGAGCCATTCCAAAAGCTTCTCCCTCAATTCCTCCACCGAATCGATATTATTTCCCCTCGGAAAGAAATTCGTAATCTGCTCGTCGAACTCTTGAAGAAAACTCATAGATTCCCGAACTGTTTTACTAGAGAATTCTAAATCCCTAAAAACTGAATTTATTTGAGAGTCCGATAGAAGAGAACTCCACACTTTATGCAGGTGACTTGCTTCTAAATTCTGCCAATCTTCACCCAAAATGGTGATACAATCTTCGAGATTGAATTTACTGAGATAATTCACAGTGCCCAACGAAGAGAACAAGGCAGATTTCAGTAAATTTTGTTTGTAGCGCTTCTTCGTCTGGAGTGTTAGACCACGAGCCATTGGCTGGATAATGGGTGTTAAATTCGGTGGCAAGTATTCAATGGTGAAATTCTTGTTGATTGAATTCAGTTCCTTAAGGTCTGGATGACATGGCGCATTGTCCAAAATTAGAATCACTTTTCCAGTTATTCCTCTCTTTTTTTGATGATCAAGAACATTTGGTATGAATATCTCTCTGTACCTGAAAAATTTGCAAAAACAAACTTTTACGAATTTCCAAAAATTGAGGCGCATGATTATTCCCCAAATGTCATTTTACCGAACTGTCATTTTAACGAATTGCATTTATTCGAACTGTTATTTTAAACGAATTGCATTTATTCGAACTGTTATTTTAAACGAAATGTCACTTTTGCGAATCGAAAAAATGACTTTTCTCAAAAGTGACAATTCGTAAAAATGATATTTCACAAAAACTACTTCTCGCAAAAAAAAAGACTATTCGCAAAAGTGGCAATTCGTAAAAATGTCGATTCACAAAAGTGACATTTCGTAAAAATGACAATTCGAGAAAATGACAATTCGAAAAAATGTCAGTTCGCATAAATGACAATTCGTAAAAATGACAATTCGAGAAAATGACAATTCGAAAAAATGTCAGTTCGCATAAATGACAATTCGTAAAAATGACAATTCGCAAAAATGACTTTTCGCAAATGTGGCAATTCGTAAAAATGGCGATTCGCAAATGTGGCAATTCGTGAAAATGGCGATTCGCAAAAGTGACATTTCGTTAAAATAACAGTTCGGATAAATGCAATTCGGTAAAATGACAGTTTGGTAAAATGACTATTCGCAAAAGTGGCAATTCGTAAAAATGTCGATTCGCAAATGTGGCAATTCGTGAAAATGGCGATTCGCAAAAGTGACATTTCGTTAAAATAACAGTTCGGATAAATGCAATTCGGTAAAATGACAGTTTGGTAAAATGACTATTCGCAAAAGTGGCAATTCGTAAAAATGTCGATTCGCAAATGTGGCAATTCGTGAAAATGGCGATTCGCAAAAGTGACATTTCGTTAAAATAACAGTTCGGATAAATGCAATTCGGTAAAATGACAGTTTGGTAAAATGACTATTCGCAAATGTGGCAATTCGTAAAAATGGCGATTCGCAAAAGTGACATTTCGTTAAAATAACAGTTCGAATAAATGCAATTCGTTAAAATGACAGTTCGGTAAAATGACATTTGGGGAATAATCATGCGCCTCAAGGGTTAATGGCTAACAACTTGTTATTTGGGATTTTTTTTCAAATTGATGTTTACGAATCCAATTTTAGTCATTATAACAAAAAAAAAAAAAAATTCATGAGTATCTAACTTTTATAATCATTTTGAAACACGTGGAGAAAATATTAAAGAAATATTTTATATTCCAAATACCCTTGGGCGATATTTGCATATTAAAATTTTATGGAGTTACAGCTGCATTGTGTGTGTCTTATCAAATTTCTAAGCTTTCTTGTCAGTATAAATTTTGAACACAAGTTGTCTCGAATTTACAAAATATTAAAACGGTTAAAAAAGTACAAGAAAATTTTTTAGAAGAAAGAAACTAAAAATCGATTCTCAATCATTTCAATCATGAAAGTATTGAATTCGAAAAAATGGTTTCAATTTGCAACCATTATTACGGTTTATGTCAGTGTAGTTAACTCCGCAATCATACCAGATGCTTCTCCTCTGAAAAACGATTCAACTTTGCCACTTGGTCAAGATTCTGACAAAAAACTATTAAAAAATCAAGAAGAGGAAAACCTTCCTCAATTTGCTTTAGACGATCCGGAATTATTTCACAATTTAACGCACAATCAAACATTTTTCACAAATTGTTCAAATTTGCCCGAAAGAATGGAAAACCTCTACAATTCGTCAAAACTTCTAACACTGGATTCGAAAGGATTTAACTATATTCTACGCGAAGCATTGAATATCTGGAATGAAAGTAATATACCAACCTACATCAAATATGAAGATTTATTCGCAATAATGCATTACACTGCTAATGGTTATATGGAAATGAAAAAAGATTCAGATGAAACGAGGCGAATGAAAAATGCCATTTACAGACTCGCAATTATGCAATCTTTAGATTCAGAAGAATACGAAACGGAATTATATCGAGGCGAAACTAAGCCATTAAATTGGTATGAAAATCAATTTAATAAATCAATAAATTCTTTTGTTTTTCAAAATTTTACCTCCACTTCGACTGAACGATATATCGCAACAATATACTCTGCGGAAGACGATGCATCCGTTAATCAGACAAAAACAATTTATGAAATGTCTTTCACTGAACCATTTTTAAGAGCAGATGTCACGAAATTTAGTCTTTATTGGATTGACGAAGAAAGAATTCTATTACCAGGTACAAAATTTGTTATTAATGAAATAAAGTGGAGAACTGAAGATGGACGAAAAGTTGGTTTGACAGTGAATCTAACACACAATTATGGAAATAAGACACTACTTGATCATCAACGGCAAGTTATGAGGGAACTGAAGAAACTACAGAATTCTGGTACCCAATTTTATGTGTGTTAAATAATTTTTTATTAAATAAACCAATGAATACCATTTCGATTTCAATTATGTAAATCTGGTAAATGTAATTTTTTTTTTTTTTTTATTTTTATTTTTTTTACGATTCTGCGCTGTAAAATATGTATTTCTTTTCTCAATAAATTGTAACTGTTAAAAAAATGTTTAGTTTTTACCTTTTAATGTAGAAAATAAGAAAATTCAATAATTAACTATATAAGTGTTCTTTTATTATAATTGCAATAAATATTTTGTCTACCAACTTTTAAAAATTTCAAGATAGCGGTATAGAAGGATTACAGTACAGAATGAAAAAGGTCCAAATCCAACAGGTCCAATAATTAGAAGGCATTTTTTAAAAGAAATTCAAAATTTTATCTGGGAATTATTATTATTTTTGATATGTTTTAATAGATACTTAATATTATACCAACTTCTTTATTTTTCACTATTTTTTTATTTAATAATACCTATTATCTTTTTTTTCAAATAATTAAAAAATATTTTTACTAATCTAAAAATATGATTAATGTTATTATTCATTATTAAACAAGTTTTGAGTAAAAAAAAAAAATGTTATAGATCAAATTTTGTTTAAGAAATTTTAAATTTATTTAAAAA